CTCTCTCATTCTCGCTCTCTCAAATAAATAAATAAAATCTTTAAAAAAAAAAAATTTCTGCCCAAACTTAATCTAACTCTGCAGGCTAGATTGATAATAAAGCAAACAAGGATTAAACAACGAGAAATCCAAGAAAGGGTTTTACAGCATGAGAAAGTTCTAATTATAATAAAATCAAACAATGTTAAATTGTTCTTTTGCTAGTTAGGTCAAAGTCCAAATGAATCACAAAATATACCACAAAAATTCTGCTTTGCCCCTCCGATTCTTAATAAATGCTCTTAATTTTTAAAACTATTACATTTTAGGGGTGCCTGGGTGGTTTAGTTGGTTGGGCATCTGACTTCGGCTCAGGTCATGATCTCAGAGTCTCGGGATCGAGCCCCGAGTCAGGCTCCCAGCTCAATGTGGAGTCTGCTTCTCCCTCTCCCTTGCAACGCCCCGCTAGTGCATGCATTCTCTCAAATAAATCTTAAAAAAAATATAATAATATTTTTAAATATAACATAAAGGGGTAATGTCTGATTTTCTGCTATATAACTCAAATGAACATAGCAGCTGATAACACTTAAATCTGAAATAACTTGTATATGAAGGAAAGTACTAAACCATTATCCGAAACTACTATGTTGGCTACATGGTTCAGGAAAGTCCATACCCAAAGCTGCTTTTGCTGCAGCAGATGCCACGCGAGGGTCCACCACAGATGCCAAAAAAGCAACAGTGCTCATGACTGGGTTTCCTGACTGACTGAAAGGGACAGGCTGGTAGGCCAGGGGCCCCAAGGAAGCATCCGAATTCTCAAGGTATGGGTCCTCAATAGGAAGCCTCAGAAAGTGGAGGATGCATTCATCCTGAGTACGACTTCCAACATGCTCTGACACTTTGTTCCAATCATCCTTATACATCTCCAGGGCCTACAACAGAAAAAAACCAGGAGCTTTAGTATCAGGTAATATGTAACAATATCAGAAGCCTGTGACTGTTCTTTAGATGGATTTTTAAAAAAAAAATGAAAATGATTATACAGTCCATAAGAAAATAGGTAGATTTGACTGCTTTCCTAATTGTATTAAATCTCAATCGGCAAAATAAATAAAAAGTATACATATATAAAAGGGAGAATAACTGTCTTTCATTAATACACACAATTGTTTATATAGAAAACCCAAAGAAATGTACAAAAAGATACTAAAACTAAAAGGTTTATCAGCAAAGTCACAGGACAGACGTGGAATAGAAAAACTCAATTTTATTTCAATGAAAAGTTTTAAATCGGAAAAAAAGTATTTAAAATACAACAAAAATGAAATACCTAGGAATAATTATAATAAAGAATGCGTAAGATCAACATGCTGGAAAACATAAAGCACGCTGAGAGAAATTAAAGATCTAAATAAATTAAGAGCTACACCATGTTCATCCATCAGCAGTCTCAATATTAAGATGTCAACTCTCTCCACACTGAATAACAGGTTCAACACAATCCCATTCAAACTCCAAGCCTTTTTTGTTAGAAATTAAGAAACTGGTACTAAAATTTATAAAGTGTATAAATTTCCAATTTAAAAATTCATAATCTGTCAGAGAAAAATGCTGAAAAACTTTCAAAAAAAAGTAAAAGCAGTGACTGAGGGGGAGAGGAACAGAATGCTATGAAGAAAATCAAGGAATTAATTGGAGAAAAAGAATGTATTCAGTAGTTGATCAAAGTTGCTATTCCTACATGATTCTCAACCAGGGGCAATTCTGCCTCCTTGGGGACATTTTTGGGGAGGTGCTACTAGCATCTAGTGGGTAGAGGCCCCGGATGCTGTTAAACACTGTACAATACACGTAAGAAGAGCCACCACGACAAAAATCTGGCCCAAATGTGGATTGCAGGAGGCTGAAAAATCCTGCTCTAGAGCCTGATTTGCGGATCTACACTGTGAGGTGAGCTTGTGAGATGGTTCTTTCCAAGTTTATTAAGTAAATTCTTTTTTTTTTTAAAGGTTTTATTTATTTTTTTGACAGACAGAAAGACAGCGAGAGAGGGAATACAAGCAGGGGGAGTGGGAGAGAGAGAAGCAGGCTTCCCGCGGAGCAGGGAGCCCGATGTGGGGCTCGATCCCAGGACACTGGAAATATAATCTGAGCCGAAGGCAGATGCTTAACGACTGAGCCACCCAGGCGCCCCTATTAAGTAAATTCTTAACCCAGGGCTCCAACTGCTGCCCCAGGCTTGCCTTCTTGCTGGAGTGATAGAGGACTCCTCAAAACCCACACCAGCAGATGGTCTTACTCATTAAATCCCTTGAATGACAAGGTTAATTCTGGGTTTCCTCTGGATAGCCAGTGGCCTCAGGTAGTTCTAGAAGGAATTACTTAGAAAAAAGACCTAGATTGTAACAAAAAAGAAAAATCAATGTCTCTCCCTAGGGTCCTTGGGGCCAGAAACATATAATTGGGGCTATCTTATGTTTCCGATTATGGGGAGATTTTCTTGGGATACTCTACCATAGTCTTTTCAAACAAACTTATTAAAAAATTTTTCTTCCTTTTTTTCCCTCAGCCAGAGTAAAATAAGAAAGTCCAGGAAGTTTTTTCCAGAATACAGCTAAGAAACCCTTTGACATGCAAAATTCAGGAAAGAGTCAGTGTCCAGAAAAGCGTCAGGCTGGGAAAGTGAAGATCCAAGCCTGGGCACTGACGGTAGCATTACAGAACAGGAAATCGAAGACTTGTTTTCAAACAGAACATGGTGACAGACTGGCTGGGAAGGAGGGGGAGGGCTGATATATTAGCAGACATTTTACAGTACTACAAAACACCTTCATTCTTCCTGCTATGACCTGGGTCCCACCACCGCTCTTTACCTGGATTCTCAGAATCGCCTATCTCTGTAACCTTAAATTCATCTTTCTTCCTATTGCCAGAAGGAATTATGTTTCACACATGACACTGTCTCTCCTCTGCCTAAAACTATTTCCTTGCTTATAATTATCTTACGGAATTAAGTCCAAACAGGATCGGGGCTCTGGCCCACTCCACCACTCTCTCTCCTCTTTCATGTTCCAGGAATATCCTGATCCCAAACACTCTTCCTAGTTATTGTGCCTCTGGACACACTGCTCTGCACCAGGAGTATTATGTACTACAGCCAACACAGCCGTCCCATTCCCGGGAAGCTGTCCTCTGAGTCTCTTCCACCCAGCCTGTCACACAGCCATCCCTCTAGAAAGGACTTGTACTCCAGGTACAGCTCCAATTGTGAAGTTAAGGACGCTGCACTCGTGCGTGTTTTAACCTGTTTCTGTCACCCGCTACAGTACGAATCCTTTCAGTGTAGAGTCTACGGCCTAGCCATCTCAGTCTGCAGTCTGCCACAGCGCCCAATAAAACCTGCTGAACTTAACCACAGGGAACTGGACTAGACCAGGAAAAGAATTTGAGTTTTCCTTGGCTCCAAATGTAAAAAATCACCCAGTAAAAAAAGGCTTTTCGTCAAGAAAATTGTATTTTTTTTTTAAACTGGAAGACATACTCATCTAAAATGTAATTCAAAATTACACAAAAAAAATATTTCTTGGGTGACCTATCAAAGAAAGGCACATATCAGGTACATGCAGACCATGAGGAAATCTTTGATGCTGTTTACTATCTTCCAATGCTACTGTTTCTGTGATCTAGCCAGTATAAAGCATGTGAAGAACTCTTCTAGTGATCAACGTTAATAACCTTCATGGCTTTTATCTGCAGGTACAAGATTCCATGTCCACTAGTCATCTAAGGGAAAATAAATACAAGGCATGAGAAAGCAAAGCAGGCATGAGAAAGACTAAAGTTAACAAAGGAGAACTGATACGCTCCCAGACTCAGGTTTTGTCAATTTCAAGCCCAGGCACAATTACAATGATCAGGAAGACTACATTATCAGCTGTGGACTTAACTTGTGAAAGCCTCTCTTAAAAATCTCCATCATCACTATGGAACAGAATGGTGCCATTTCTTCTTCCATTCTGGCAGCCTGATTCTGTCAATGCAACTTCAAACTGTGCGCACGGACCAGGTTACCCTTTCGTGGCTTCTTAAATTGGTGACTCATTTTCAGGTGGCACACCTGGAATTCCTCACACATTTTACAAATGAAATCTACTCAGACAAGTCTCCATCATCTTTATCTTATGCAATATATTTTTTCAAAAAACTAATATAAAGCCTTGTATTAGCCTTCATGTCTACCAACTCAAGGTCTTTTTCAAACTGCATTTATTCATCCCATGTGTAGATTCCACATTGGTTATTTGCAAAACTGAAACTATGCCTCCCAAAATCTGTAATAAGACAATGAACTGAACATACCCACTGATAATAACCTGCAGCATTCCATATAAGAACTGTGCTTTGATGAGAGACCATATCAAATAAGGTGTTAAAATAAAAGCGGGTGGTCTAAGAATAGTCTAAAATAGTTGGGATGCTGCCTGTGTGATATACTTGTCTAATAAAATGGTGTGATTTCGGGGGGTGGGGAACCACAGACCTTAACAAATCTTCCAGATTTATATATTTATTAGGAAAAAATTAACTGGTTTTGGTTATAAATCCATTATAAATCCACTTCAGATTCTTAAGCTATTAATTACCAATAAATAAACTATAGAAATAGAAGGTGTTAGTGGTAACAATACTGCTGGGGAGCCTCTGTATAACTGAAAACAATACCTGTTGATTCAACTGCATGTTTAAAAGAAAACCCAACCACTGGACAGGTTCCACCTGCAGGAGAAAAAAATGCACTATTGTGTAAGGATACTGTGGTTTTCTTGGATATGTCCAGGGTAAATAGCAGCTCAGCCATTCTGGCCTCACTCCTGTATTTATTATTCACTATTCTTAAATGTAGAAGAGGAGAAAATTTTGAATATCAGTGTGTAGCAAGAACAAGAACTGATAAGACTGGTGTTCCAACCGGTGCTGCACAACTAAATTTCTCCCCAGAGCCCAGAGACTCTAAAAAAGCAATATGAAACTGTATTACATTCCCTCCAAGTACTGGGATCTTTTAAGTTAACATCCATGCAAACAGGACTGGACAAAACAGTCCTGAAATAAATAAAGGGTGGCTCAGAAAAGAATCTCTCTGCATATCACTGATAATGAATGAGTAGATCAGAGTACATTAAAATAGTAGTAAAAAAAGAAATCTTTTTGAATTTTAATCCAGAGAGAGAGAGAGAGAGATTAAGAGAAAAGAAGGAAAAGTAGAAGAGGGGTGTAAAAAAAGGAAGTTAACACACCACTAAAACTTCTTAAAAACACAACTGTTGGAACAACTCAAAAAACCAAATTAAAGCAGTACAGGACCATGAACCATCAGCAGGTCCAGTATCTCAGTGTGGCCTGAAGACCCACGGGGCACCACTCTTTCAGGGGGGCCCTGAGACCAACCCATTTTCCTAGTAACAACAGGACACTGCTGCCTTTTTTCATTATAACGGCATCTGCACAATTGGTGCAAAAGCAGTGGTGAGTGATCTGCCTACCCTCCGCATGATCAAGGCAGTAGCGCCAGACTGTCTTCAGGGTCACTCTAGTCTTTACCGCCACATACTCACAAAAGTAATCCAACTTTAAAATTATTAATTTTATAAATCTAAAGATTGAAGTCCACTTGTTTTCAGTATTTGGTACTATGAAATGTGAGGTACACGAGAGGACTAAAAATCAACCATCCAAGCATGATGGTGGTCTGAAGGAAAAGCACTGTTGGACCACCTGAGTTTCAAGCTCAACTAGCCATTTTCACAGAAGACCATTTTTATTAGAACAAATGGCTCATACACCATGGTTTGGAGGCACAGATATCTTGCGGACATTTTCTGATCAGCACAGGAGTTCTGACCTGCTCCGTTTCTGACCAGGCAAGGTCACCCTGCCTCAGGTATCGTGGTGGGCCCCCACTCTGGGGAGGTCACCATAGTGATGCCAAACTGAGTGCAGACACCCAGGTAGCATAGCAGACTCCTGTCCAGAACCCCAGGCTTTAAGCAATCCTCCTGCCTTAGCCTCCCGAGTATCTGGGACTAACAGGTACTCGCCACCACAATGGCCCAGCAGACGTGTTCTCAAAAGCAAACAGGACTCTCAAAAATTCACTGTGAGGGACGCCTGGGTGGCTCAGTTGGTTAAGCGTCCGACTCTTGATCTCAGCTCATGTCTTGATCTCAGGGTCGTGAGTTCAAGCCCTGCACTGGGCTCCATGCCCAGCATGGAGCTTACTTTAAAAAAAAAAAAGGAATAAAAATTAAATGTCACTTCAAAGAAAGCTGAGTATTTGTTGCCAATGATTAAGTGAAAATTAGAATTCTGAAAAATACATACCTGCCATGAAAGCCTATCCTACAGGAATACTTATAATTATTTGAAAAGGCCATTAAGATACTCTTTCTGTTTCCAAATACAGATGCAGGTCATGCCAGATTTTCTTAATATACTTAAATTAAAACAACATATATGCTGGAAAAGCAAATATGAAAATCCAGCTGTATTCTAATAACCCAGGCATTATAGATATTACTAATGTGTAACACCATACTTTTCAGTAATATCTGTTTTCCAGTCTATTTTTCATAAAATTGTTATGTTAACTTGCAATGGGTTTACTGTTATTTTTAAGTAAATTAGTTTTCTCAGTTTTAATTTACAATACAGGAAAATACTGACAAGCTCACAAACAAAAACTCTTTGAAGTCCTCAATATAATTTTTAAGAGTGTAAGTATATCCTGAGACCAAAAAGTTTGACAACTGCTGACCTAGTCTAATCTTCTATTTGATACTTGATTTCTGAACTGCAAATGTTACACATGATCTACAAGTCTGGATCACGTGAATACTCTACTGAAAGGGAGCTCTCGGCCTCTGTAAATTCACTGCTCTAAAGTTAGGAGACAAAGCAGGCACTGTAAGTCACCAGCAACAATCACTCCCTTCCTCCAGGTTGACCCCACTAATCAAACTAGAAAACCATGTGTTTGTTTTCCCAGCATCACCTGTGATACTTGGTGAGCACTGAGACCAATTCTGAACAATGAGGTAGAAGAGAAAGACTGACGAGCGGCTTCTGGTTAAGCTTTTCATTTCAAGAAGAGCCCAAGAAGAAAAGGCCCCAGGAGTGCCCTTTCCAACGTTCTTCCTATTTTCAATGGGGATATGAAGCCAGGGAACAAACCAGCCTTCCTGTGACCAGAAGAGAACACACGGAGACAGAACATGGACACGTAAAGAAGGTGGAACAAAACAACAGAAAAGCTAGGAACCTGATGATATACTTGAGCAGTGAAAAGAACGTTGGGGGGGGCCTGGGTGGCTCAGTCAGTTAAGCCTCTGCCTTCGGCTCAGGTCATGATCCCAGAGTCCTGGAATAGAGCCCCTGAGTTAGGCTCCCTGCTCAGCCCGAAGTCTGATTCTCCCTCTCCTTCTGCCCCTTCCCCCTGCACTTGTGCATGCACGTGCACTCTCTCAAATAAATAAAATCATTAAAAAGAAAAAATGTTGGAACTGCCAATCTGAAGACAGCCAGTTGAACAAAAAAACCAATGTCCTTTTGGTTTAATCTACTGCTAATTAGATTTAGTTCTTTGTAGGCAAAAGCATTCCTAAGAGATTAAACAGTAAACTTCCTCATTTAGTCCTAATTTAGCTCTCACATGCACATTCTACCCTCAAATACTAAGTAGTGTCACACAGTCTTCACTTTACCCAAAGATTGTTCTGTGACAAAAGACAAATGGTCCTTCTTCAGAAATGGTTGATAAATATGGAACCCAATATTCTGTACTTCTTACTCTCTAGGGCAAAAATAATTGCTAAGATTCACCTGTGTAAGTATTTGCAAGAATCTCCAAGACATGAAGAAATCCAAAAAGCATTCAACAAGTTGACGGAAAGATATCTTGAATTATCACTGGTTTACCAGAGTGTTCTGCTTTCAAGGACAAAACAGTATTTTCAGGGACAGATGTCTTTATCTACTTCTCTGGAATCCTTTTGGGAAATACAGAGGTCGTACACTCAAATGCATACAAGCACTGGAGAACGCATCAACAATGACCAAGGTGGGCTAAGATTAAAGAAAACTGGAATCTGAAGAAACATTCCACTTCAAAGGAACATCTGCTACTCAAGGTCAGCCAATTATTGCTACATGGGGATGAGGTGCCAGAACTGCCACATCTTCCAATTTTGGATGAAAAATTAGAAATCTAGACTACTTTTGCAAAGCTCTAGTATTTGTTTCATATTGGCAAAGATTTAAAATAAACAAAACAACACAACCCGGGCCAAAAAAACACATATCCAGGCTTGATCTTCCCTACTGATAGCCAGTACATCACTTCAAGGTATGGTATTTAATGATGGCCCAAGAAAATTCTATTAAAACTCAATACATGGTTCAAAAAACTTTAGGATTAATTCCAAAGGTATATTTCACTGCTCACACAAATGAAGCACCCATCTCCTATGTGGTAACGGGGCTCTGCTATTAATGTGCTTACCTCCAGGAGCAAAAGGGTCTCCTGTTCAGTCCATTCTCTTCCAGCACTAGCACCTTTACTCTAAAGAAACAAAACCAGAAATTAGGTACTCGTTTCTAAAGGCTGAACATGGAGCTCAGCAGGAGTCCCTTCTATGTAGAGGGGGCTATTTTATGCAAACCACCAAGTAAGTCCCTGAGCAACAGGGATAGAACACTTAAGGACCCTCAACTTCTAACACAAAGGCAGATTTATTTCTGAAGATTTCTTGCTGTCTATCAAGGACTCATAGACCATTCAGATATATTATTCCTATTATTTTGATATTTAAAAATACCTTTTGAAGCTACAAAGGCTACAATATTTTAATGCATACCATGAATTGGCTATGATATTATACATAATACAAATATTTGGTATAACTTGAAGGAAGTACTTTTTCCAAGATTCAAAGACAAATTATACTACATATAAATTACTCTGAAGCATTCTTAATTCTAACTGCAACAAGTTCATATTCTCAATTTTAACACCTATAATCACCAACTGATTCCTTAAACTTTAAATCACTCTTTCTATAAGAATCCCTTTAGTTGCCAATTCACGTGAGCATGGGGGTAGAAGAAAGCCAACGTTGTTATGTAAAAATTAAGATTTGTGAATTGATTCATACGTCTTGAGTTGGTAGGCCCTGCTCCATTCATAGACTAGCAGAGGACTGGATGTATGGTATACCTGACACTATTCTTCACGTGTAAATGTTACTAATTCAAAATATACATTCTACCATAGCCCTTCTCTGAAAACTCTATTTTGGGAGATTACAATTTAATAAATGAAGAGAAAATTTCTATGGTCTGTGATTTCCTTGTTTGTGACAATAAAGCTTCTCAAGTTATTTGACTCAACCTTTCTGCGTAACTGTGCTACTGTGGGTAAAAATTAAATTATGACTTGCTAGGTTTCCATGGTATTCAACACATATCATTCTGAAATTTTTGAAAAAAATGTACTAAAAGTAAGTAGTCCTTTAACTACAGAATAAAGAGGAATCTAAGCATTATAGAATTCAAGTCTCACAACATGACTCTGAGAAGAAAAAAATGCATATAGCTATAATTCATAATACATTGTTCAGATTCCTTAACGATTACTTTACAACAACCAATGTTCATCTTTTAGTGAACCAAACTCAGAAGTGACCATCAATCAGATTTGGAGCTCCAAGAGGAACAAAATTCATTAACATTTCACCTAAATTCTAAAGAAGGCAAACCTGACTACAGGAAAGATCCTTATAACCTACACATGACAGCATTTACTGGGTACGTGCACAGCAAGCATTTCTCTACCTCTCAGCTATAAAGTTTTTCCTCTTGATAAAAACTGGTTCTGGGAAGACTGCATAATCTCAACAGGGTCCATGAGATGTTTATGGGGGGTTTTGCATGATTTTAGAAATTTTTTCGTTTGTATTTATTGGGGTAGAATGCATGTACCATAAAATACCCAAATCTTCGGTGTACAGTTAAACACAATTTCACATATACACCCATGTAACAACCACACAAATCAACATCCAAGGGGTCTCTCCTTTAAACCTCAAGTTGATAGCAACCCACGTAAGTACACACTATTCTCAATTCTATAGTCATAGGTTAGTTTTTCCTGGATCTGAACTTTGTAAAACCATTCAGTATGAGTTTGTGGGTCTGGCTTAATATTATGTCAATGACATTCAACCAAACACTTTACATGAAGGAAGTCAATTCTTTTGATTTCTCTGTTAATATTACACTGTTTGAATAAACCACAATTTATCTATTATATGCTTGATTGATCACTGTTTACAGTTTTTGGCTATCTTGGATAAGGCTGCTAAGGACATTCATGCATATTCTTGTATATATTCATTCTTTTTTTAAACTGATTTATTTATATAGCCAGGAGCTCAGTGACTGGGTGTGTTTTTATATATATACATATATATATTTATATTTAGCTATAATAGTGTTCCCTCCACTTTTATTTCCTGGAAGAGTTTATATAGGTTGGTATTACTTCTTCCTTAAATGTTTGGTACAGGGACACCTGGGTGGCTCAGTCGGTTGGGTGTCTGCCTTTGGCTCAGGTCATGATCCCAGGGTCCTGGGATCGAGTCCCGCATTGGGCTCCTTGCTCCGCAGGGAGCTTGCTTCTCCCTCTGCCTGCTGCTCCCCCTGCTTGTGTTCACTCTCTGACAAATAAATACATCAATAAATCTTAAAAAAAAAAAAGATTTTGGTACAAAAGGATCAGTAGAATCATGTGGGCCTAGAATTTTGTACTCATGAAGGTGTTGCACCATACACAGATATAACACATACAAGGTTACTCTAACGCATGAAGCTTCCTGCGGCTACTGTAACCACATTATCACAGATTTGATGGCCTAAAAGAACAAAAATTCATTCTCTCACAGCTCAGAAAGCTGGAAGTCCAAAATCAACACAACTGAGACAAAGATCACGGTGTTAGCAGGGCCGCACTCCCTCTGGATGCTCTCGGAGAGAATTCATTCTATGCCTCTTCTGTTTTCTGGTGGCTGCCTCAGAACTCCTTGGTTTATAGCCACCTCATTTTAACCTATGCACCCAAGGTCACACTGCCCTTTCCTTTATTCATGAGAGACAGAGAGAGAGAGAGAGAGGGAGAGGGAGGGAGAGGGAGAGGGAGAGGGAGAAGCAGGCTCCCTGAGCAGGGAGCCTGATGCGGGACTCAATCCCAGGACCCTGGAATCATGACCTGAGCCAAAGGCAGACATTTTTAACTGACTGAGCCACCCAGGCGCCCTCTCCTTTCCTCTTCTGTCTGCAAATCTCTCAGCATTCATCTCTTGTAAGAACTTATATCATAAGGGTGCCTGGGTGGCTCAGTTAGTTAAGCCTCCGACTCTTGATTTCGGCTCAGGTTATGATGATCTTAGGGTGGTGAGATCGAGCCCCATGTCAGGCTCTACACTGGGCGAGAAACCTGCTTAAGATTCTCTCTCTCCCTCTCTCTCTTTTCTGATCTGTAATTTGTGTCCTCTCTTTTCTTCTTGATCACTCTTTCAGAGGCTTATCAAATTTATTGATTCTTTCCAATAACCACCTCCTTATTTCACTAATTTTCTATTGTTTTTCTGGTTTTGATTTCTAGCTTAATTTTGTTGTGGTTATAGCCAACCACATTTATATCACATGCATGAAATCATACAACCACATTTTATAGTATCACTCCTTTAAAATTTCTTGAGACCCATTTTATGGCTCAGAACTAAATATACTTTGGTGAGTGTTCCCCAAGAACTTTATAAGAATGTGTTTTCAGGGCCCCTGAGTGGCTCAGTTGGTTAACCGTCTGCCTTCAGCTCACATCATGATCTCAGGGTCCTGGGACTGAGCCCCACATCAGACTCTCTGATTAGTGGGGAGTCTGCTTCTCCAATACCCCCCACCCCCGCTCGATCTCTCTCTCTCAAATAAATAAAACCTTAAAAAAAAAGGCTTTTACTGTTATTTTGCATAGAGCTTTCTACATAACAAATAGGTCATATTGGTTCACAGTGTTGATCTAAGTCTTCTCTTACTGACTTTCAATCTACTTGTATCAATTACTGAGAATGGATTACTGAAATTTCCAACTATAATTGTGTGTCTGCCTATTGCTCCTTTCTATCAGTTTTTGCTTTATATATTTTGAAGTTTTTAATTAACTGTACACATATTTAGGACAATTACATCTTTTTTTTTTTTTAAGATTTTATTTATCTATTTGACAGAGAGTGACACCGAGAGAGGGAACACAAGCAGGGAGAATGGGAGAGGGAGAAGCAGACTCCCCGCTGAGCAGGGAGCCCAATGTGGGGCTCGATCCCAGGACCCCAGGATCATGACCTGAGCCGAAGGCAGACACTTAACGACTGAGCCACCCAGGCACCAATTATATCCTTTTGATTAACTCCTTTATCATTATGAAATGTCCACGGTTTAATTCTGGTAAAATGACTTGTCCTAATGTCTACTTTTGCTAAAATTAGCACAATGACTCTGGTGTTCTTTTGCTTAATGTTTACAAGGTATGTCTTTTGTCATTCTTTTATTTTTATATTTCACATGGATTTCTTATAGACAATATATGCTTGTACTTAGTTTATGCAATTTGACAATCTCTTCTGCTTAATGGGATTACAACCACTTACACTTAAGGTTATTACTATCCCCATGGACATATGTACACCTATCATCTTGCTATTTTCTACTTGGCACATCTATCCCCTGCCTTTCTCACTCCTTCTCTCTTATGGAGTAACTTTTTTGGAGTCTTATTGTTTTTATCTCCATCATTAACTTTTTAGTTGCGGGTCTTTAAATACTCTATGATTCACAATCCTCCCATCTAACTTGCCACGGTGCATCTTCAAAGGTGCATCTTCAAATACTACGTTACACATCCTATCTAGTAGAGGAACTGTAACACACTGTACTTCCCGTTTCCTCTCCTGTGCCTTGAGCCCTGTTTGCTCTTTAACATTCACATGTTGTAAACCTATCATTCTTAGTTTGAATAGCCTACTACCCTCTCATACAACTGCAAATGAGGAGAAAACCTCTCCTCACGGACTCAGGTGTTGACCTCTTCTGGCATTCATCCTCCCTCTTCCGCACAGATCCAGGCCTCTTCCAAAACGCTTTGCCAAAGTATTAGTCTAACCTGAATCAGCATTTTGATCACATTTCTAAAAGATATCAGGACTTTAACTCCATCTGATTGTCTCTTCTGTGCCATTTTGGTCATTTCTACATGCCATAAACCCCCAAAAATCATCACTCCTTCAATAGTCCACATTCCTTTATACTTAACCACACATTCATCCATTGACCTGGACCACTTCCTTCCTAGTCACATGCGTCCATCAGGGATCAGAGTCCTTCATCCTGAAAACCTTCCCTCGGTTTTCCTACACTGTGTGATACTGATGCTCTCACACCTTCTCAATGTCCTTATTGCCCTTCCCCTGGTACTTCTACTGGAAACACAGCTCCAGAACAAAAGCTTCACTTTCAGCACTTTAAAATGTTTTTATGCTGTCCACTCTGGCTTCTGTCATTTCTGTTGAAAAGTCAGGCATCAGGGCGCCTGGGTGGCTCAGTTGGTTAAGCAACTGCCTTCGGCTCAGGTCATGATCCTGGAGTCCCGGGATCGAGTCCCGCATCGGGCTCCCTGCTCAGCGAGGAACCTGCTTCTCCCTCTGACCCTCCCCCCTCTCATGTGTTCTCTCTCTCTCATTCTCACTCTCAAAATAAATAAATAAATCTTTAAAAAAAAAAAAGGTCAGGCATCAGTTTTATGATTGTTCCTTTGAATTTAATGTGTCCTCCAACCCCACTCACCCCCCACAATGTGGCTTTTTTTTAAGGTAAGTTTAAGCATGATGTGCCTGAATGTAGTTTCCTCTGTATCCAAATTTGGATCTGTTCAGACTCTTATGAGTTGGTATCTTTTTTTTTTAAATCGCAAATGTTTAGCCATTACATCTTCAAGTATCACTTTTGCTTCATTCTTTCTCCTCCTACAGGTCTCTAACGCTAAACATGAAGTCTTCTTACAGTAGCCCGTGTCCCTTGTGCTCCATTCCCTTCGTCCCCCTCCCTCGCCCTCATCCAATTTCTTTTTCTCTTGGTGCTTCAGTTTCAATATATCTACTATCCTGTCTGAGCTCACTAATTCTGTCTTCTGTTGTGTTTAGCCCACTGCTAAAACCATCCAATGAGTTAATTTCAGACATATTTTTCAATTATACAATATTCATTTGATTCTTTCTATAGATTTCAATTATGTTGAAACTCTCCACTTTTCCTTGTTTTTTTAACATATTAATCAGTTACTTTAAAATACCTATATTCTAACCATACAGAAGAAATGGTAAGATAAGTGATCGTTGTTTTATAAAATGTCAACAGGTTAAGTAGAATGAGCATATTCTTACACTACACAAAGTAAGTTTCTTATGAAAAATGACACTTCTTAGAAGGAGAAATAAGAGGACATGCTGGATTGCAGCCCAGCTGTGCCTAGAAAAAAGTCCTTACCTTTGCTAAGGTTTTCTTGGAGTAAATGTCAGTACGAAGACCAAAGTTCTGCAAATCAATTGGTTTTTCCTTGTTCTTCTCAGGAAAATTTAACATCTGCTGAGCAGCAGGGACCTAGCAGTTAGAAAAATGATAAATGGCTGTATTCACCTCTACAAAGTCAAGGGGATAGAAGTTTTTAAAGCACTGTTTAACACTGATACATAAGGAGATTTAAAAAAATAAATACCCACACCTTCACCCTATACATTTCAACATACTGTATAAGCAACATTTTTCTGCCTTTTTTAAATCCCCGAGAAAACACAACAAATTTTCTTTAATGTGCTCTCCCATTTCATGTGAAGAACAATTTATACCTTAGACTCATGTTACGCTAACTTAAGGCTATATAAAATCTGGTTGACATACTAATCTTTTCAAGAATGTGTGTATGGATGTCCACTTTCCAAATGTTAGAAAGGGGAAAAAGTTTCACACAATCAGTGTATAGTGGAATAATACCTAATATTAGTTTATTAGTGTAATAATTACTAATGCCAGAATTGTAATAATATTAGTGTAATAATTAGTTACCTGAGGTGATCGAAGATGTAGAGGCACAAGCCCAGAGGGGGTATCAGCTAATACATTAAAATGAGGAGTAGGAGGAGGTCCCATTGCCATGGGCCGACTTTCTGGATCCACTTGGTAATTAACAAGCCCCCATTGCTCTAAAAAGGCATGAACCCTGGAAGAGTAAAGCTCTGAAAGTTAAAATCTAGAGAATGTACCCCATCGCCTTGGTAACCATCATTACATTTCATTAAAACATAAGAACAATAAAACAAGTAAATGTTCTCTGTAGGCTATGAGCCATCACAAAGTTAACTGACAAGTCTGGTTTGTTGTATGAGGAACAATTTCTATAAACTCAATGTTGACAGCATAGCACCCCAAAACCTAGTACAAAGCCTAATTATTTCAATCACAGAAATAAGAAATGTTCATTTAAGTTCACAGTGAAAGAACTCACACACAGACCAAATTCAAAGAAGGAGATTCACATTTGATTTGTTTCTTCAGACAGATCTAGTGTACAGAGCTTATCCACTCTCCATCCTTGGTCATTTTATGATTTCATTATATAATAAAAGATGTCAATGGTAAAATCTTAAAACGAGGAGAAAATGCCAAGGTATTAAATACATTCAACCCCTAAATAAAAGACATGTGACTAAGGTATTTTATTAACAAAGAAAATATCAAGTTTAATCAATCAAACATTGAACAGCAGTGCATCAGTAACCACCTGAAGTGAAGCGTCTGAGAAAAAGTCAGGCGTTTTACCTCATCACAGCACACACGTCTCCAGTCAAGTTCCTCCGACAAGCAGTGCTGGTTAAATATTCTTGGGGGTTTAGGCGATATGTGTCAATCATAAAATTTCGATATGCCAAGTATCTAAAAAGCAGTGGCAAAATTCATAAGGTGGACACACATCCTTTCAGAAATAACTCATAGAGCCAAAAATCATCATATTCCTCACAACCAAATCCAACAAAAAGTTAATATTCCAACCAACAACAGTATTGAGTATTTACAGTCATGAATGTAACCAAGGATAAGAACCCCTAATATGCAAAACAACTATATACTAATCTTTAACAACAGTAAGTAAAATGGAGTAAAATCTGATGATGTTAACGTGAAGTTAACACAGAGAACCTGGCTGGCTCAGTTGGTAGAGCATGCGACTCTTGATCTCGGGGACATGAGTTCGAGATCCACACTGGGCACAGAGTTTACGTTAAAAATAATAATAACAATAATAATAGTAATAATGTGAACTAACTTAAATACAAAAGTGATCACAGGAGTGAATGGATAAATCCTTAGTTCACTGAAGAATTTACAAATAACACCTGGTTACTTAGGCTGTCTCCCTAATTATTGTGTATCCAACCATAATTCATTTAAACCTCACAATTTCTCCATAAGGTAGGGTGTACTATCATCTCATTTATCAGTGAGCAAACTAAAGCACAGAGTGATTCAAGAATGTGTCCTAGACCACAAGTCTGGTTAAGTGTGGAGCTAGAATTCAACACAGGGGGCAGGGGGTTGCTCTGGAATCTATGCTCTTAACACATGCTGCATCTCATTTCTAGATTCTTCCTAAAGCCACATGTGGATCTGGCTCCAACAATGGCTATATACCCAGCTAGGTGAGGACTAGAACCCATGAGGCCAAAATCAAAGTTAAGACAACAACAGATTAAAAAAAGGAGAGAAAAACTGAAATTCTGAGTCACAGCAGATTTCACAACATACCCAAGCATTTCTGCAACAAGATACTTAAAACAAGAGTGTTGAGAAGCTAGAGACCCAGCAAAAGTTCTTGCCACAAAAGTAAAACAGAAATCTGGCAGGTTAAGTAAGGGTAGCTACATCAGAGTAGAAGGTACACTGCTCAAAAAAGGTCTTGTATAAGCAAAAGTGGATAAACAAAGACCTAAAGGTAAATTTTTAAATTAAAGCTGACTAAAATGCTAAACTGTGCTTGTAAACAGACGACTGCCAAGAACTGTTAAGTATTTACAAATGCTGGCAATCGGCACATTAGCTAGAAGAACACAGCATGTCCGACTAGATGGAAAAACTAAAAGGGTTTCTTATGCCAACTCTTTGATTGTGGTTTTATTTTATTTTTTTAAAGATTTTATTTATTTATTTGACAGAGAGAGACACAGTGAGAGAGGGAACACAAGCAGGGGGAGTGGGAGAGGGAGAAGCAGACTCCCCACCGAGCAGGGAGCCCGATGCGGGGCTCGATCCCAGGACCCTGGGATCATGACCTGACCTGAAGGCAGACGCTTAACGACTGAGCCACCCAGGCATCCCTCTGATTGTGGTTTTAAATGAAACCTTACAGCTTTGTCATGGAAAAGCTGGAATTATCTCTGACATCTAAACTTAAAATCTCAAACTATCATGGACAATCTATTACAAGAAAATATTTATTATTCAATTATCTGTATTCTAACATGTTTTATGTGGAAAATTATACTTCTCTAACAATTTAAACAGGAGACATTTATTTGTGAAGTCACATGAGCATAACAAACAAGGAATTAATAAATATACGGAAAAGTATTTATGGTATGATAGCTGTGGATTTATTTTAGGAGAAAGGGTTTCCAGAAATGTGTATTTAAGGGTCACCAGGCAAAGGCAAAAATTCTTCCTGACAAGATTCTTCCACCCAAGTTTTTGTATTTCCAAGGCAAAAGCACAACAATGCTTTATGTAATTAAGATCGATTTATAGGGGGCGCCTGGGTGGCTCAGATGGTTAAGCATCTGCCTTCGGATTAGGTCATGATCCCAGGGTCCTGGGATCGAGGCCCGCATCGGGCTCCCTGCTCCTTGGGAGCCTGCTTCTCCCTCTGCCTCTCTCTCTCTGTCTCTCATGAATAAATAAATAAAATCTTTAAAAAAAAAAAAAGATCGATTTATAGGCAGCTATGTCATTGTATTTGGCATTCTTTCAATTACTAGTCATTCATCATCAAAATAAGATAAAGATTCCACCTTCTCCTAGATTATTATATGTAAATATATATATAATCTATAACACATATGTAGACACAAGGCGGGAACTGTCAGGCAGAAACCTGAACCCATTTTAGTGAATACCTGTTACCAAATTCAATCTTAGCTATAAGAGCTGACATGCATGTAGTTCAAGGTTATAGGTTCAAGATGGAAATGAAAGAAAAAATCAATTCCTTTTTAAAGGAACAATTTCCTTTACAGCAAGGAATTCTATGTGGCTGAGATATGCACACTTTTCCGAACGGAATAACACATTTGCAAACTTCCACACATTACCAAAAATGATCTCAGAAGTATCCTTTTAAAAACCCCTGCCCAACACATTCAAACGAACAATTTTTCTGGACACTGGCCCCTTTCTAAAGTAAGTAATGGTATCAGGATTACATCTTCACATTTCACTCACATTTCTGGAGTCTTGGATTTGTTCTTTCCATTGAAAAACTCAGGAAGAGCACGCCGTTCAATCACATGAATACTGGGGAATAAAAAGTAAAAAGTCCTCTTAGAAAAATGAAATCTTGAAATTTAAGCTAAGTTTAATTTTCAAAGTAAAACTGAAATCCAAAAACTCAACATTCTTTTTTTTTAAGATTTTATTTATTTATTTGACAGAGAGAGGGAACACAAGCTTGGGGGCAGGGAGAGGGATAGGCAGGCTTCCCGCTGAGCAGGGAGCCCGATGCGGGGCTCGATCCCAGGACTCTTGAGATCATGACCTGAGCTGAAGGCAGATGCTTAATGACTGAGCCACCCAGGCGCCCCCTGAACATTATTTTCAAAAATCAGTTGGCTTGCACAAGTTCCTATGCATTAAAAGAATATTATAAAGAAAGTTTTCCCTCTCTCACCCTTAAGACTTATAGTTTTTCTATTCTCATACCCAAACTCAAAAACTTCTATCAACACATTGAAAGCTATCTATTTTATTATGTTCTTGACATAACACATCACAAGTAGATGATGAGCCACAAAATACAAAGAGTTCCTTGGAAACGGACAGACATCACAGCAGCTGGTGTGGCAACAAACTGATGAAGTGAACGACCAGCCAAAAGACAATGGAATTTACAATCATCAGTTTCTCGGGCTCTTAACAACAATGCACCCTTTTGTCCAGACCTCAGAAACTTTGTGCTGAAATGGATCTTTTTAAAGATTTCAGTCATCTACTGCCTTTAAAAAGATTATAGAATTTTCAATATTGAGATAAAGGCACTGGTAATTTTTTTTTACTTTTTTTTTATTATGTTATGTTAATCACCATACATTACATCATTAGGTTTTTGATGTAGTGTTCCATGATTCATTGTTTGCGTATAACACCCAGTTATACATTCTGCTCCACGCAGAATGTACCCTCTTTAATACCCATCACCAGGCTAACCCATCCCCCACACCCCTCCCCTCCAGAACCCCCAGTTTGTTTCTCAGACTCCATAGTCTCTCACGGTTCGTGTCCCCCTCCGATTTCCCCCCCTTCATTCTTCCCCTCCTGCTACCTTCTTTTTTTTTTTTTAACATATAGTGTATTATTTGTTTCAGAGGTACAGGTCTGTGATTCAACAGTCTTACACAATTCACAGCGCTCACCATAGCACATACCCCCAATGTCCGTCACCGAGCCACCCCATCCCTCCTACCCCCCACCACTCCAGCAACCCTCAGTTTGTTTCCTGAGATTAAGAATTCCTCATATCAGTGAGGTCATATGATACATGTCTTTCTCTGACTGACTTACTTCACGCAGCATAATACCCTCCAGTTCCATCCACAAGGCACTGGTAACTTTATAAAATCTTACAGGTGATAAGCACTATAGAGACCAGATAAAACTCAGGCCTAATGCACTATACAAAAGACCCAACTGTGTATCTAGTACAAAGGCTTTGACACTAATACTAATCAATGTTTTTACTGATGATACTTTCTAGTTTCTCAGTGGCTTTCCACATATGCAACATGTATTGGTTATGCAGGGAAGAGCAAATCAATAATCTGTGAATGTAACTATAGGCATCGTCTGGCTGGCTTAGTCAGCAGAGCATGTGACTCTTGATCTCGGGGTCCTGAGTTCGACCCCCCCGCCATTGGGCACAGAGTTTACTTAAAAAAAAAAAAAAGCATTCACTCTTGCATCATTTGGGAACATTTAAATTGTTTGAACAGGATCTGTACTGCCAAATACTATAAATATAATTAATTACCTGAAAACTTCTAGGAAGGTAATTTCTAAGATGAATTAATCTATATAGTTACATGTAATGACTTCCTGAGTTTTACTATAAAAATAGCTGTAAGCAATTAATTATATAGTTCAAATATATCTCTCATTGTTTTATTGTTAAAGGTTAGGAAGCCCACAAAAAACACAATTTCTATATTCACCAAGAACAAAACACACATGAATGTTTAACCCCAAGAACTTTCTTTTCTGAACTGCTGGCAGCTGATTCCTTAGGTTCTGAGAATGAGTCAGGAAGTGGGGTGGTCAGAATCAGAAAACTTGAGTTCTTCCAATTGTCCACTGCAACGGTGGAACACTTCCACTGACACATTACTTGTCTTTATCTATAAAATAGGGATGTGACTTACACCTCCACTGTCCATAAGAGCAAGCTATGTGACATGCAATGGTCATGATGCAAGTTATATACCGTTAGGACTGCACTTTTTTTAATTTTAGAGGAAAAGAACGCTAGTTTCTCAGGTGTATCCTTTCAAACCATTCTGAACCCAAACATGTAGTTACAATTACCAACAGTGAGACTGAGACACTTCCAAATTTAAAAATAATACATCATCAACATAATGAAGATTGACCTTCAAAGAAGAGCTATATACTTATTCTGTCCCAGGTTCTATTTATTCAAAACATTTAGGAACAGCATTCAGAGTTGATCTTAAAGGCATGCAGAAAAGTCTCAATATTACTGTCATACTTTGTGGCTTTTGGAAAATAATTAGGTATAGTTCCAAGTGAATCATCCACCCTATTCTTTTAAATTGGCTTCTATATTCTTTAGAAGCCTGTGTGTGTGTGTGTGTATGTGTGTGTCTAAATCCATGTAAAAGATGCATATATGTATAAAGACACACATACATAAAATCACATTTATCTTTAAAGAATGATAATGTATAACAATTGAGAGGAAGCAATAGATCCAAATAAGACCACAAGATTCCAAGTTAAGGGCAACATCACTAGAGTTAAGTGTACAACTTTCCAATGAAAGTACCTTAAAGAAGCTAACTATTTGGAGGGATAAGTTCTGGTACATATGTTTAAAAATAAAAAGCCAAATAAAAATCAGCTTGATATGAAACAGTCACACTTTGTAAGTACTCAACAAATTATCTAGGACGGTGCTCCAATGATGCCAAATGGTTGTGGTAAATGACAGGGAAGATGCTGAGGAAGGTGTCTTCTTGAACTTTTTTTTTGGTAAAGATTTTTTACTTATTTATTTGAGAGAGAGCTAAAGAGAGAAAAGGAGCAGAAGCAGACTCCCTCCTCTGCAGGGAACCTGATTGCAGGGCTTGATCCCAGGACTCCTGGATCATGACCTGAGCCAAAGGCAGACACTTAACCGACCAAGCCACCCAGGCACCTCATTCTTGAACTTTTTATATGTGAAAAGCCTCTTAATGTTAAAAATATTTCCTACTGGGGCACCTGGCTGGGTCAGTCAGTAAAGCATGTGACCCTTGATCTCAGGGTCATGAGTTCAAGCCCCACACTGCATGCAGAACTCACTTAAAAAAAAAATTCCTATTAAAATGAAGTCATTACTAGGTAGTGAGAAGAGTTCTTTTTAAAATTTACTTTTTTGGGGCTCCTAGGTGGCTCAGTCGTTGGGCGTGATCCCAGGGTCCTGGGATCGAGCCCCACATTAGGCTCCTTGCTCCGCGGGGAGCCTACCTACTTCTCCTTCTCCCACTCCCCCCCCTGCTTGCTTGTGTTCCCTCTCTTGCTGTGTGTCTCTCTGTCAAATAAATAAATAAAATCTTTAAAAAAAAAACTTTTTTAATTTTTCAGTAATCCCTACATCCAATGTGAGGCTCGAACTTACAACCCCGTGATCAAGAGTCGCACGCCCCACCAACTGAGCCAGCCAGGCACCCCTAATATTTTAAAATCATATAATGTTTTAAAATTATTAAATACTCAATTATTCGCCCATCTGAATTCTAACTGATTCTAAATGAGTTAAGTCTAAGCTGACAAAATTTTACAATCCCTAGTACAACACAACTTAATTTCAATCCCTAAACTGTTCTAAAGAACACATTCCAAAGTGAAAATAAAATCACTTTCCATCTCCCTTCATCCAATCTGACAGTGATTAGTGACAAAGGGATTTGGGCAGGAAGTTCCTCCACACCTAAGTACTGTACTCACAGGTGTACATGGCCCACTCACCAGTTATAATCAAACCACGACGCATAACTAGGAATAATAATGTGATTGGTCTGCTCTGTCACATTATCTTCTCCAGGGTCAAGTGAACGACTTTGATCACCTTTGCTAGGATCTTCATCTTCCTATAGAAAAGAAGCCAGAGTTTAGAGAAACAGTGAACGGCAGAGACAAATAACAGCTTTCAAACTTCTCACATTAGGGCACAAAATGAAGCTATCTGATCCAATTTCAAGGCTCAGAAAAACAAATTTCAAATAAAAACACCCTTTCACAGTTTTTAAAGTACCTTCATAAGACATCCAGATGACACAGCAGATTCCTCCCCTTTACAGATGAGGGTATCAACTCAGAGAAGGCCCAAAACTTTTCCCACAATAGCTTGCTTCTTACTTGGCCAGTTTTATCTAATCCTAGGGTCACAAATCTAAATTACTAGTTCTCAAGTTATTTATAAGAAGGTGACTAAAGGACACTAATGAGGCATAATGACACGCCTTCCCCTACCCCAAAGATTGATCAGTAAGTATCTGCTAGTGGCCATATGCACCTTATCTCATTCATTCCTCACAATAAACAGCAGGTATTATCACCGCTTTTATGGATGAGAAAATGATGCAAGAGCCGGTAAGTTATAAACAGGGTATAACTCCAGAAAACCCAGTTTGAGGGCCTACACTCTCAATCACTTTCACTACTATAAGCTCTGATTTTTATCAGATTTGTGGAGGTTTTACAAATGATTCCATCTAAAAACCTTGCCTGGCTAAAACAGTAATTTCAGAATCATTGCTTTGGGTCAAAACCCAAGAACATTTCTTATGCTACCAGTAAAGAGTAATAATAATTACTTTTAAATAACGGTATCATGTAACACACAGTTTACACTCAAATGTTTCCAATTAACCCAGAAATGCCCTTTATACATTTTTCTCCCCAAACCAGAACCTGATCAAGGAATCCACATTATATGATACATCTCTTTAGCTTCCTTTAATCCCTGCCTCCCTTTGAGGGGGGTACTTTATGACATTCAAATGTTTCAAAATTCCAGGCCAAATTAGTTATGCAATATCTAACAATCCTATTTATCTTACTGATTCTTCATAATTAACCTCTGATCAAAATTTTTATCAAGAATACCACAGGAAGTAAGTTTTTTTGACATTCAGATGTTTTCCAATTTTCCATTATACCATTATATCTATCAAGCTTTCCTCTGTGTTTTACTGTCTTTATTCTTATGAAATTTTTTTCTATTAAGAACCAAATTTTGAACCGTACTCTTTTGTACTGGTTCCATAGTTTAATTTCTACCTTTTAAGTTAATTCATCATAAATGTCCTGTGCTATAGTGTTTGAAGTGAGGATCTAGTGTTACTGCCTAGAAACTTAAGACAGTAATTTCCTTAAGATCAATGAATATAGAAAAAAATGTAATGTATGAAAGCCCCAAGGAAACTCTGGTTGTTAATTAAATGATGCTGGAACAATTTTGATGACAAAGGTAAGAAATGTTATTTCCCAAATCAGGGGAACTAGTAAAAAATATGCTCATGGTTAATGAGTTTTTGAGATGCAGATTTCACAAACTTAATTAGAACATAAAAAATTTCCTTTATTCAGGAAAACCAGGGAGAGACTGGCACTGCACTTAAAAAAAGCCAATAGTCTATGATTTAATTATCTGAATGAGGGGGAACGCATGGAATGACATTATGGGACCAGCTGTTAAGAGTAACTACTTCTAACCAGTTTTGGTTTCAATTTTACAACAGACTTGGCCTTAGTTTCAAGATAGCCCTAGCCACTGGCATAAAAAAAAAAAAAAAAAAAAAAATCTACATGTCAACTATCTGGCTTTTTATTTTGGTCTCTTTCACTACCACACAATAGTATTTACATTAAATGATGACATCTTTTTACAAATATAACATCTGTTAATGGTTCCTAAGTAGCTCTTTATGTAAAGAAGTCTAATTTTAAAGAAAAAAATCATACGGGCGCCTGGCTGGCTCAGTCGGTGGAGTGTACGACTCTTGATCTTGGGATTGTGAGTTTGAGCCCCACACTGGGTGTAGAGCTTACTTAAAAATAAAATCTTTAGGGCACTTGGGTGGCTCAGTCGGTTAAGTGTCCAATTCTTGGTTTCAGTTCAGGTCATGATCTCATGAGTCCTGAGATGAAGCCCCACATTGGACTCTGCGCTCAGTGGGGAGTCAGCCTGAAGATTCTCTCCCACTGCCCCTCGCCCCGACTTGCGCATGCACGGTCACACATGCTCTCGCTCTAAAAAAAACCAAAGCTTTAAAGAATAAAATAAAATCTTTAAAAAAAGGAAACATAAGAACAAATTCAGTTAAAGAGCCTTATGTAGATGAGTTTCTTGAACGTTTTCAGGGAAATCCTATCATAAGTAGGTTCATTCCTTGAATGTATAAAAAATAACAATAAATGTCAGTTTGGGGGATTTCTCTAACTCAATGAAAAAGAACTATCCATTTTCAGCAAAGTAAGGGAGTTATTTCACGGGGATTGTTATTTCAAAGAGTAGGGATTAGTTACACCTAACTAATAACACAGTCAAATATGACAGTTTGAATGAACAATGGGCCATTTACTAAAAAGGAAAGTAAAATCCTGCCTTAAATCCAACACCTTCCAACAATATCATTATTGCTACGTCTCTACCACAGGACTGATGAAACAGGAAGGGGCTGTGAGGGCTCAAAAAAGGGCAAGAGTACGCTCAAAGCCTGTGGGCTGGAGTTGTACCCACAGAAATGGAAGTGAGAAAATCAAGGCCACTGACGTGGTCCCTGCTTACCTGTCCTGTCAGAGGACACTTGGAACACTGCAGTCAGCTCTGATTACTACCTTGCAACCAGGGGACGACAGAACCAGAAATTATAGCGTAAGAGGAACACTTCATGAGGAAACAGAAATTTCCTCTCAATAAAATTTTCAGAGTCAAGAAAGACAAATTATTTCAGGGGTGTGTTAAAAAAAAATCAGAAGGGCCTCAAAATTGAACATTTCTAAGGACACTTCTAACCTGTGTTCCTACTGTTCCACACACAGGACCCCTCAGACAGCTACCTGTGTACCAGGCCTAACTAAATTGTTACCTTTCCTCCTGTTGTGACTGTTTCTTCATCCTGCTCATCTGTAAAATCAAAATATATGATTTATTTAAAAATCAAGCAAACACTCTTTGGATTACTTGAAAACTTCCAGGTAATTTTAAAAACTTAAATTGTTACATGCAGAGAAAAGGAAAGAAATAAAGCATTACGAAAGCAAATCCACCTCCAGTAATTCAAAAAATTGAAATCGTACACAGAAGCACAAAGGTGAGAACTTCAAAGCATTAATAATTGAAAATTTCCAACAACAGGGAATTTATAATTAATTACTGCTTGGGCTACTATCTTAGTGATGATCTCGCTAATAATAGGTAAAGGACTTGACTGGGGCTCTTACTCCTGAGATTTGATGAAACAAAGTAATGACATTTTGGATCTCAGAGGACATGAGTGAAGGAAATGAGGAGCAAAGAAAAGAAGTGAACATCAATCACTATGAAGTCCTGGTAAGGGTGTTAATATATTCTGAGGATAGAGGACTCCAGGACATAAATCCTCGCCTTGCAAAAGAACAGGAGTAAACCCAAGTATAATTTAAACCAGGCAGCTGATTTCCACAGCGAAAAGTGCCAGTGTAGACAATTGTTTATATACGAATGAAGGCTGCGTTTGCATTATAATGGCAAAGTTGATTAACTGAGACAGAGACCATATGGCCCACAATGTCTAAAATATTTACTACCTGGCCCTTTCCAGGTTAAGTCCACCAACCTCTATTTTAGAGAACATACAAAGATCAGTAGTACACAAACAGGTAGTACTCAAACTTTCAACTGTATTTCACAGAGGGCCTCTACTACATGCCGGCCACGGTCCAAATGCCAAGGACACAATGAAGAACAAGAAAAGGTCCCGTCTTCAAGGAGTTTACATTCCAGTTAGGAGTGGCAGGAGACAGAAGAGAAAACACACAAACAGGTATCAGATGGTAGCAGAGGAAAACAAATCAATATATTTTAGAGAGGGGGTGGGTGGGTGGACCCTTCCAAATAAAGAGGGAACCAGCCTGGTCAAAGGGTCTCAGGTGGGGGCAGACCTGCCGCCGTCACAGATCTCCAAGGCCACTCTGAGCATGAATAAAGGCTGGGAGAAATGAGCACAGCACAAGAGCAGAGTGCGGTGACACAAAGCATTGGCACGAAAGTTAGACAGACCCGGACCTGAGTCAGTGCTTTGTCGCTTAATAGCTGTCTGCTTGGAAACACTACTGAAGCCCTCCAGGCTCCATTTCCTCAGCAATGACACAGGGCTAACATGGTTTTGCAGTGAAATGCAAACAAAGGTAGAATGATACCTGGCAGGGTACTCATGCAAAACAGAGATGGACACTGTTGCTTGATTTCTAAGTTAGACAAATACCTGCAAGCACGAATATGGGATTCACTGTGTGGTAAATAAATTATGGTCATCCAGCTCTGCACAGTGACTACTTTTATTCTAGGAAGTGACAAACAGATCTAAATAAGGTTGTCAAAAATGAACTTTTTGTCCTTTGGATCTTGATAAACCACACGATAAGCAATTTCTCACTAGATGGTGCAAACACAACCTAATGATCTCTCTCCGGTCAAAATATATACCATTTAAATTTAGTGTGACAGATTTCTGTCCCTCACGTAGTCTTGGTACCCGATGGAAACAGACTTCTGATAATACTAAAGTAGGAGGGAGAGATACCCTGCTTACTGATTCCTAAACAGTAATAATAAATGTTCTCTTCCTCCTTCCAGATGTGGGCAATCACACTTTCACCTCAGCCCCTGGATCTTGCCCTTTCGGAGATCTCAAGACAGAAAGGAAGGAAGGACTAGGTATATGTAGCTAGGTGACATATAAGGCAGAATATGAACCAGTTAATAAACAACTCTGTGAACAGGAAGTCCCAGTTGATGGATCAGTTACCCCTGGCATGGTTCGGGTTATACCTAATGCAGAAAGCCAGATGATTAAGTAATACATGGAAAGCCCACTGGTCCCTGGATGAAAGGCCAGGACAACAGTTTCAAATTCCATTTGACTCTAGCTCTCCAGCTGTGATGAGCAGCACCTTCGGCCACAATACCCTTACTATTTAGACCTCAAACCATTCACAAACACAAAGGGAAGATCTCTTATACCCAGCACTAAAAATCTTAATCCAATAGACACCCTTATCCATTTCTTAAAAATGGCTTCAGTTTGGCTCCTCTGATAAAGTCTATTACATAAATACTCTAATACTCACCTCCACCTCTAAAAGGACAACTGTCCACTCCCTTAAAACTAGATTGATTCCTTTTCAGGATATATACTTAATATACACACTATCATTCTGTTTAACAAATTGTCTCAGTGAAGATAATCAAGTCTTAACATTTACCCTGCTACATTACCGAAAATATAAAAGACTACATATAGCTAGTTTTGTTTTCCTGGCCTTTGATTCAGTGGTAAGTACCAGTTGTGGAATAGAAAATATAAAAACTTATAGAAAATGGAAGTTATTGTTATTAATATTCTATTAATAATGTTAAAGATAACTGAGAGGAATGTTTTGACAGCATTTCTTTTTCATTTGTTGACCTAACACTACCTTTACATAAACTGTCAAGACAATTTTCTATTTCTACTTTTGACATAATCAAAAATGGAGTCATCCACTAATGTTAAGTAACAGGCTTTAAGCCAGAAAAGGGAGGGTGTAGTGAAATGAAGTAAAAAAAAACTCTCCTACCTACCTACTCATAGCTGTCATCAAGAATCTCTGAAAAAGGGGCGCCTGGATGGCTCAGTCGGTTAAGTGGCTGACTCTTGATTTTGGCTCAGGTTATGATCTCATGGGTCCTGGAATCCAGCCCTGAGTAAGGCTCCACACTCAGCAGGGAGTCTGCTTGAGGATTCTCTCCCCCTCTGCCCCTCCCCCAGCTCGTGAGCTAGCACGCTCGCTCTCTCTAAAATAAATCTTTAAGGGGAAAAAAAAGGATCTCTGGGGGAAAAAAACAATCTCTGCAATTTGTCTGAAATACAGAATTCACCTACTGAAGAGACAGAGAAATTGCCGTCCCATTTTTCCACATAAGGAAATCGCGAATACCCCTTCCAGGTGTAAAATTCCCTAACGTCAAAAATGTAGTATATACTGAAAACACTAGGTTCTCCTTTGTTTTTTTTTTTTAAGAAGATTTTATTTATTTGAGAGAGAGAGCAAGAGCGAGGGATAGAGGGAGAAGGAGTAACAGACTCCCCGCTGAGCAGGGAGCCCGACATGGGGCTCGATCCCAGGACCCCGGGATCATGACCTGAGCCGAAGGCAGACACTTAACTCACTCAGCCACCCAGGCATCCCTCCTTTGATTTTTACAAGTGAAGAAAGAAATCGAGATCCATATATAACACTCAAGAACAAAGATGTTTAAAACTACCTCTATTTTTTAAACTGAAGAAAGTGACTACACCCCTCTTGTCTACCCGACAGCACATCCAATGATTATGCCTTACTGGTGAAAATGTACTCTGTAACTTGTAAATACTATGAGCTGATGATGATGTGATTCTCATTTTACACTATTTAGAAAGCCAGAAGAAATACTTTAGAAAATAAATCATTCAAGAGTCAACAGACTTTTGTTCTGAAGATGCAAAATCAAATCGGTAAGAATGGAAAAAATGGATCACAGGAAATTATATTTCCTGATATGGCAGCAAACAAAATGACGGTGGTGCTAAGGGGGTCATGGTCAACGTCTGTGCTGGACCAAAAAGGTAGCAACTGGACGTGACATCTCTCGGGGAAGAAAGAATTATCAGAGGAACTAAATCTCTGAGACAGAAAACAACACAGAAGTCTATAGACTACTTTGGTTTTACCTAGATCTGCGACAGTTCCTCCTTTAACAGGTGTGTTTTCACTGTCTTTCTTTGGGTTCACTAGAAAGAAAAAAAAAATCATGTTTTAGGGGAAAAGTTCTACTTTTTAAAAAGAGAACAGAATAAAAGATGATTGAAAACTACATGAATCTCAATGTAAATCCACCGTCACCCAGAGTTCACCATCATGAAAAACTCCAAGCCCAACAGAAAAAGATTAACACTTACTGTAACAGACTGCATTTTGTAATTTCCCAAGCACCAATATTTTTTCATGACAAAAGTACACAATACAAAAATATATACGGCAAAACCTGAAAAAACCTTTCAATCCCTTCCCCCAAAGTATTTTTATTACATTTTCTGTGCATTTGTTGATTCCCATTTTTGTGCCATTCACTTAGATAAGCTGAGAGAGAACTAACACCTTTTACATATCTATGTAGACTTCAAAAACAGAAATGTTACCCATACTGTGCTCTTCCTTACCACTCTACTTTTCTCATTCAAGAGTGTGCCTGTATGACCTTTCCATGTTATGTATTTTTAGTTAAATTATATCTCTTTCATTTTCAATAAATCCACTGTGTCCATGGGTGGGTCATAAGGTAACTAGTCCTATATTAATGGAGACTTAATTTATTTGCAATTTTTTACTGCAAAGTAATCCACATTCTTATATTCACCTTTAAGCATGCATATAATTACTTAAAATGAGAGCTCTGAATTTAAAACTGCTACTGGATATATACATTTTAAAACAACAGATATAGCCAAATTGTGTTAAGTGGCTTCATCAATTTACACATCCACCAATAGCATTTGAGAGTACCCATTTTCTCAAAACACTGGTACTTTGGGAATCATCTATTTTCTAAATTCTGAAAATCTAATGTATGAAAAATGTTCCTTTAATAATTTACATATCATTGGTTAAATGAGGTTGAGCATCTTTTTGCACATTTATTGGCCCCGAAATCTGATAAAATTACCAGTACAAAATACTCTGCCCCTTACTCTATAGGGTGTAAAGAATCTTTATACAAATTTAGAGTTCTAATTCTTTGTTAAATGGCTAATGAGTATTTTCCCCCAAGGCTAACACTTGCTTAAAGTACATTAACATTTTGAAGGTTACTTTTACACTTTAATTTGGCACTTTAATCCACCTGAAGCTTAAATTCTTATTTTTGACACAAAGAACAGTACTAAATTTTTTCCACAAGTATTTATGGAACAGTTTGGTCTTTTCCCACAAATTCGCCCTGCCAAATACACAATAAATTAAACTGATAAACAAACATGGATCTACAGTTGAATCACATATTCTACTCTACTGATGGATTTGGCCATTCCTGTGTCCAAATCATACTATATCCATTATCATAGCTTTTGCAGTTCAGTTAGTTATCTGTTAGAACTATCACCACCTTCATAGTTCTTTTACTTAAAATAAATATTTGGGGGGCACCGGGGTAGCTCAGTGGGAAAAGCGTGCAACTCTTGATCTCAGGGTTGTGAGTTCGAGTCCTACACTGGGTATAGAGAATACTTAAATGAATACGATTTAAATAAATAAATAAATATTTGGGGGTGCATGACTGGTTCAGTCAGTAGAGCATGACATTCTTGATCTTGGGGGGTTGTAAGTTCACATTGGGTATAGAGATTACTTAAAATCTTAAAACAAAAAAAAAAGCACACAAACGAGAGGCACCTGTGTGGCTCAGTAAGCTAAGCATCTGACTCTTCTGATCAAGCCACCCATGGGGCTCCATGATTAGCATGGAGTCTGCTGGAGATTCTCTCATTTTCCCTCTGTCCCATTCACACTCACTTTTTCTAAAATAAATAAATAAATCTATAAAAAGAAAAAAAAAACTGAGAAAGATGCATATTGTAATCCCTATGGCAACCACTGAGAAAAAAACAGATAAAAATCAAATAGAGAATATGAAAATCTATATAACAGAAAACAGAATAGTGGTTGCCAGGATATGGGAGAAAGGAGATAATCTATACTAACCCCCAGTAAGTATAGGGTTTCTTTTCAGGGGGATGGAAATGTTCTAGAATTAAAGAGGTGGTGACTGTACAACATAATGAATACACTAAAAAAACCAATGGAGTGATTAAAATACACTTTAACTGGTGAATTTTATACTATGTGAAGAATATCTCAATTAGAACTATGCTATATAAAAAAGGAAGTCATAGAAGTTCTAAAATAAAAGCAAAGCAGGGGCGCCTGGGTGGCTCAGTTGGTTAAGCATCTGCCTTCAGCTCAGGTCATGATCCTGGGTCCTGAAATCGAGCCCTGCATCAGGCACCCTGCTCAGCAGAGAGTCTGCTTCTCCTTCTCCCTCTGGGCTTCCCCACCCCCACTCATACACTCTCGCTCTCTCTCAAATAAATAAAATCTTAAAAAAGAAGAAGAAGAAGAAGAAGAAGAAGAAGAAGAAGAAGAAGAAGAAGAAGAAGAAGAAAAGCAAACACAGAAGCCAGAACAGAACATTGAAAGTAGTGGATTAAAGCAAAACAAGGGAGGAGGTAAGAGAGGGACAAATAGAAAAAAATTATCATAATGGCAGACTTAATCCCAACGACATCAATAATTCTTTAACATTTCAGTGGACCACATACTGCAATGAAAAACAAAAAATGTGTATTGGGGAGGGGGGCAAAGCTCAACAATATGCTGTTTAAAATCGACATGCTTGGGGTGCCTGGGTGGCTCAGTCGTTAAGCGTCTGCCTTCGGCTCAGGTCATGATCCCAGGGTCCTGGGATCGAGCCCCGCATCAGGCTCCCTGCTCCACGGGAGGCCTGCTTCTCCCTCCCCCACTCCCCCTGCTTGTGTTCCCTCTCTCACTGTCTCTCTCTCTCTCTGATAAATAAAAAATCTTTAAAAAATAAAATAAAAAAATAAAATCGACATGCTTTACATAAAGTGAAAGTAACAGGATGCAAGAGAGGTAAGAACAAAGCTTGTGTAATTTACAAACTACTCTACTGAAGTCAAGTACAGTGGAGACTAATTTAAAAAAGTGTAGAAATAAAAGGGTGTGTGTGGTGTGATGAGGCTTTATTATCATCAGAAAACCTGGCCTTCAAGACAAGCACTACTATGGCACATAGACACACACGACATAAGAGTCAATTCATCAGGAGGACATGATGATCCTAAGTGTATATGCCCTTAAATAGCAGAGCTTCAAAGTACACGAATAAAAATACTTAAAAGAAAAAATATTCACAGGAATCAAGGAAAAAAATAGACAAATCCACAAATATAGTTAAAAGAGTCTAACATTCTCCCAATAACTTATTTAAATAGGTTAAAATGTACATAGATAATACGCCACCTTCTCATCTGTATATTGATTCTAATGGGATTTAAAAACCATTTATTTCAAAGCATTGCTCAATTTAGAGAATTTTCTTTCTTTTTTTTTTTTTTTGAGTAGGCTCTATGCCCATGTGGGGCTTAAATCACAACCGTGAGATCAAGAGTCACCTGCTCTACCAAATGACCCAGCCAGGCGCCCCATTAGAGAACTTTTTGGTCACGGTGTTTTTCTCACTAAGTAGCAGAAGTACACCAAAAGATTGGGAAAGGGAAGAAACATTTGCACCTTGAAAGTTGGGAACTGGGGGCACAGAGCAAGAAATGATTCATCCCATGGCATTGCTAAAGAGTGATTAAATCACATCTAATACTCTCATAGTCTAGGCAGAATACAAACCATTTTTTGGAAGCACCACTTCCTCTATGTTGGGTACCGGTGTTGGGTCTTCCATGTCCTTGGTAAGATCTTCTTGCTCATCTTCCTCTTTCTGACTTCTGCGCTTCCCATAAAGACTAGCTTGGCTAAAACATATAATGCATATAAATATAAAAAGGCTGACTATAGCTACCCATAGCAGACAATTTCAGAGGCTTTACCCTCATTGTTAGAATCTATGCTCAGAATCTCTTTAAAAAGACAAATAGAAACCAAACAAATTAGGTACATATCCAAATTACATCTAACCAGCAGAAGGAAAATAAAGGTTACTGGGAGTAAGAAATGGCCCCAGAAATTCTACTATACAAATCACAGACAGATCCTAAAGGGGGCTTAAATTATATAATAAAAGAACATCTGCTAAGGAAATATGGCACATATTTTATCTCACATAAACAATCACTTACATAAGAAATTTTCTCAAAGATATGTACAACCGTATTTTCCTGGCTCTTTGTATCATCCAAATATCAAGAACTGCAAAGTAAAATCACTTAGGATGGTACTAATTGTGTGTGTCTGTGTGTGTGTGTGTGTGTGTGTGTGTGTGTGTAAAACTTGCCATCGCCCTTTCTTTAGTTTATTTTTTAAAACTAACACATTCCAGAAAGCAGATTAGAGTTCAAACAAGAATGGAAAGACTCCTTACCTTGATGAAATTATAGGGGATACAGGATAGAAATTATCAACTACCTCATATAACATGATGTGTACCAGAAACGAATAAGGGTACCAAGAAAACAAAACATAATCAAGATTGAAGGTGACAGTTAAGCTAAACCTTGGGAACTGTAACAATTCAGCATTTCAGGATAATGAGTGGAGGCATAAAGGCATAAGGAAAGAGATAACCTGTTCTGGGAAGGAACAGGCAGGAAGCAACACAAACAAGTGAGGAGTGGAGAAAGAGCTGATGGAAATATACAGTGGGCCAGCCCGAGCCCTCACACTGCTGAGAGAGTGAGCAGAATTCTCTTCATGACAGACCACACACTGGCATAGGTTAGAATCAGGTATATAGGTAAAAATATTTTTTATATTTTTAATAAAAACTGCATGACAATTTTTCAAAAGCCTGTGAACCTAAAGGTGTTAGGGAGACAAAGTAAGGGAAGGTCAATAAAACAAGAGTCAGGAAAATAGCTGTCAATGTCTTTTCATTAAAGGAAACAACACAAAACTTGAATGACTGCTCATTTGAAGACAGATGTATTCAATTCAAGGATATGCATACATCTACTTTGGGAAACTCAATTTGGTGGGTTTTATACTCAGAGTAGAGGCTCAGTACCATCACTGTGAGCCTCCTAGACATCATGTCTTGTTTTGGCGACCACTAGTGTCCTGGCACTGCATCTCAGCCCCTAAGTGGGAAGAAGGGTACATCGATTTCAGGCCCAGGAACACTTGGAAAAGTTGTATGGCTTTCTTCACAGGGACATGAGGAAGCCCTGAATTCTCTGCACATCAAGCATAAGACTCAGATTAGAGATTTAAGAAATAAGGTTACTCTAACTGTTAAAGAAAAATCTATTTTTGTGGTTTTTTCTATCATAATACATGTGACTTGACAAAATAACAACATCCTTTTATGACTATGACTGGCTCATTAATATTATTTATAAAATTAAGAGTTTTTTAACTTCCCTAACAGCTTCTATACACAGTTAAGAATGCTTCAGATAACCCTACCCTTCAAGAAATAACACGGTTCTGATGAATCACAGACCTATACCCCTGAAACAAAATACATTATATGTTAATTTAAAAAATTTTTTAAAGGAAAAAAAAAAAAAGAAATAACATGATTCAAGGCATGTTCTGGGCATAAAAAAATGCTAATTTGGTTATAGGAAAAAGTCAATAAAAGGAAGCTAATGAAGAGAAAATAACAAGTAGATCTTTATAGTCCAGTCAACAGCCAGAAATTTAACATTTCTGGTTGCATGAAAAGAATAAATTTTGTCTGTCATTTTATAAGACTAAACTTAACCACTTTGAAATTAAATAAAAAAAATTTTGAGTGAGACAAGCTAAGCAAGCCAGAAATTAAGTATCTACTTAATATATAATAATAAATGTTAAGTATTATCTACCATTTATTAAGTACCTACTTCAGGCCAGACACTGCACAGGGGCTCTAAAGTCTCACTTAATCCCCACAACAACTTATTCAAAAGAAACCAGAAACCCCACTCAAGCAAGATTCACTAAAGTAAAAATGTGATGCCCTGAACAAGGCACTCTGCTCAACATGAAACAGACATAGGTTCACTTCCTCTATGAGTCACTCTGATCACAAATGGGACAGGTGGTAAAATCAGAGAAAGAGACACTAACTATGGCAAATATAATTTCTTAAATTCCTTACCAGCCACACTGCTCAATATATAATTAGATACAGAAAAGACTGTATTCAGGGTGCCTTCATATAAATGCAACATCAGATGGCCATCTTACAAAGGAGATGAAGAAAGGGGAAGGTAAAGTAGGGGAAGAGGAAAAGAAAGACAAAGAGCCAAATAATCCACCCTCAGACTTTGGTGAAGGTGACGGAACTTAGTTGAAAGGATACAGTAACAGCAAGCCGAGAGTCCAACTTTGAATCTTGACTCTAAGGAAAAATCTCTATGTGACCTTGGAAAAGTTACTTCCCTATCCTGAACCTCAATCTCTATTTCTTAAGATAAAGATGCTTATGATACTTCAAAGATCTGTTTCAGTTTTAAGATTCTGAACATGGTTTCTACTCTCACTAAGCTGTGAGCCAAAGCTCTAATCCAGAAGGCAAATATTCATCCCCTTCCTGTGGCTAGGCCAGAGAGAGAAAAATAGTTTCTCTCAGAATTTGATCATGGAATTGGAGTGGCTATATTTTAAATACAGATTAGATATCACAGTATGTTTATGTGGAATACAAAGTTAAATGTGATGTGTGTCTGTGTGTGTGTGTGTGTGTGTGTGTGTGTGTGTGTGTGATGGAAGATTATTCAGCCATTAAAAAGGAAATTCTGCTACTTGGGACAACATGGATAGACGCTGAGGCCATTTTGCTAGGAGGAATAACTCAGAGAAAAATAAATACCATATGATCTCTCTTATATGTGGAATCTAAAAAACAAAACAAAACAAAAACACAAATTCAAAGATAGAGGGAATACATTGGTGGTTGCCAAAGGTAGGGGGTGGGGGAGAATGGGAAAGTTGGTGAAAGGTATAAACTTCCAGTTATAAAATAAATAAACCCTAGAGATGTAATATACAGCATGGAGCCTGCAGTTAACACAGTGTTGTGCATTTGAAAGTTGCTAAAAGAGTATCTGATCTTCAAAGTTCTCGTCACAAGAAAAAAATATTATTAACTATGTGTGGTGCTGGATGTTAACCAGATTTATTGTGATTATTTCACTATACATATTAATTTAAAAAAAGACTGTATGCAAGGTGCCTTAGCATAAATACAACAGAAGATGGCCATCAGATAACATCTGACAAGATGAACTATCAGAGCAAAGACATCTACCAAATCAAAAGTAAGACAACTTCCTTTGAGCAAAATTTCTAGTATAAACGTAAAAATCTAGAATTCCCTCTGCAGTTTGTTTTAATGCCTCTGAATCATGCTGCAGTTCTTACCCTTTCTTTCCACTCTTCTTCCGGGATTCTATGGGTGTAGGAGGTGGAGGGGAAGGCGAATGTTTCCTCTTTCGAGCATTAGCTGATGCTTTCCTATCTCTTCTCTCTGGACTTCTGACTGGCTAGGAAGAAGTAAATGGAAATAAATATCAGCCAGCTTTTCTGACTCCTCAGTTTCTACAAACCCTTGTCCAAAGGTGAGTTTCACAAAGATAATACCAATACCACTCAGAGCATCCTAGACGACCAGCAGTGAAGACTCTCTGACCTTCCAGGTAATGTACCACCAATGGAAGTATTAGAACCATCCCACAGGTATTCAAACTGTGCTACAAAACAGACATGCCCAAATCCTGCACAGCTAAAAACTGTTCCTGTTCCACCTTCTGCTTCCAGATAGGAAAAGCATTTTCAACAACTACTGGAAAATACAAAACATATGCTATTTAATTAATGAAATACAAACAATGGCTGAATGATCTTGTGAAAGTGTATCAGAAACTAGTCCTGACGTGTCAGTAAAATAGGAGAAAACTTTATGACACAAAAGATGTTAAATAAGATTGCAACTTATGACTTAAAAGTCAATCTAACAGAAGTACAAATACCCCTACTTGCAGATGAAACGATCTTATATATAGATAACTCTAAGGAATCTACCAACTATCAGAGCTAATGAGTTCAGCAGTTGCAGGATACACATCGAAATACGAAAGTCAACCTCTAGATGATTATTATGGATTTAATAAAATAGACAATAAAGAATTAACACCTAAGGGCACCTGTGTGGCTCAGTTGGTTAAGCAACTGCCTTCGGCTCAGGTCATGATTCCCAGGATCGAGTCCCGCATCGGTCTCCCTGCTCAGCAGGGAGTCTGCTTCTCCCTCTGACCCTCCCCCCTCTCATGTGCTCTCTCTCTCTCTCTCATTCTCTCTCTCAAATAAATAAAATTAAAAAAAAAAAAGAATTGACACCTAAGATGATCCAAAGTATTGTACCTGAGGTGCTAAAAAAAAAAAAAAATCAGAGATTAAAACGTTAATTAAACATGCATCATCTTTGGTATATTCATACTCCTTACAACTCTGTTTCCTTTCGGAAGCTCGGTAGCATCAAATTGGAACCTAAGTCATCTTACAGGCCTACATAAGAAGTTTTAAAGAAAATCTAAACTGTCCACACTGTATGGTAAGTCTGAAGTGAAACTTTTAAAAAGTGATATTAAATGCATTTTTATAGAATTACACTAAAAATAAGTGAATAAATTAATACATAAGCCATCTAAATCTGAACAGAGACGGCTATGGACAGGCCTTCTTAATAATGTGCTGTAGAAGTTAGATTATTCCTAATGACAAAAAAGATTGGTTGGAAACGCATTAAGGGAAATCAAATATGTAAGCATATGGGATGGGGGGGAGGCTGAATAAAAAATAAAATTTAAGTCAAATTCCACAGCAAATAAGGACCAGTTAAAAATGAAAGGATATGAGGGGCGCCTAGGTGACTCAGCTGTTAAGTGTCTGCCTTCGGCTCAGGTCATGATCCCAGGGTCCTGGGATCGAGCCCCGCATCGGGCTCCCTGCTCGGCGGGGAGCCTGCTTCTCCCTCTCCCACTCCCCCTGCTTGTGTTCCCTCTCTCGCTGTGTCTCTCTCTGTCAAATAAATAAAATCTTAAAAAAAAAAAAAAAAAGAAAGAAAGAAAGGATATGAACAAGACCCAGGTTTTAAAATATTTTCTTAAAAATAAAAAATACAGGGCGCCTGGGTGGCTCAGATGGTTAAGCATCTGCCTTCAGCTCAGGTCATGATCCCAGAGTTCTGGGATCGGGTCCCGCATCGGGCTCCCTGCTCCTTGGGAGCCTGCTTCTCCCTCTGCCTCTCTGTCTCTCATGAATAAAAAAAAAAAAAAAAAAAATGAAAAAAATGAAAAAAAAATAAAAAATAAAAAATACACATCGTGCGCCCAAGAGTTTTAGTAAGAAAGTCTCAGGGCTGAAAACAGATATGAGAGAATGGTACATTCTACGTGAACAGTTAAAAGTACTTGTCTCAGAAATTTTTCAAAGAACTACAATACAAAACAAAAAGCAAAAACCTGATGTGTCCCCAGTGAAGAGGAATGAGAATCTTACCTAAGCACTCACCAGCCAACACCAACACATCTAAGCCTTCTCAGACTCCTCTCCCTCCGGGTGACACACCTACCTCGCAGATTGTGGCTTCTCAAGAACCATGGTTAAAACTTTTGGTAGTTGGGCTTCTTAAAGGATTAAAGAGTAATAAATACCACATCATCCCACCTTAGAAAGGGCTGAACTCTACCTTTGAGACCTTTGAGGCCGATACTATGTACTAACTACTGTGTGTATAGTAACAAAGCTATTAAAGAATATTAAGACAAAATTAGTTCTCCCTTGAAAAACCAACTAAATTACATTATCCCATAATAATATTTGGTTCACAAAATTAAAATCAGACCTAGAAAACAAAATCAGCTATACCGCTGCCACACTGCATATGCCACTTTACATCTCCATGACCCTTTGAGATCATCATGCCCCTTCTTTGGGAATGCCAGCTCCTGAGATGGTTGTATGGCTATTTGGTTAACTTTTCCACATACCTGATGAGTGATGCACCTTGGACTGTATGTCAGAGCTTATTAATGAAGATCTGACAACAGTGAGGCCCAGAAAGAAGAAACATCAAGTGGAGAAAAATGGTGCCAAACCAAATACCTCTTCATTCTTCGTTGAAATTCGCTGACGAAAGCTCACGGGCTTCCTGTTCTCGTCCACCTCATAATCCTCCTCATTCATCCATTCATTGAAAACATCAGTGTCCAAAATCCATTTCACATGAACCTAAAACCACATTCAAGCATGTGTATCTATATAAATAGTAGATCATTACAGTTTTTAAAGTATTCAACTTTGGGGTGCCTGGGTGGCTCAGCCGTTGAGTGTGTGCCTTTGGCTCGGGTCATGATCCCAGGGTCCTGGGATCAAGTCCCACACCGGGCTCCCTGCTCGGCGGGAAGCCTGCTTCTCCCTCTCCCACTCCCCCTGTTTGTGTTCCCTCTCTCGCTGTGTCTGTCAAATAAATAATAAATCTTAAAAAAAATAAAGTATTCAACATTAAAGAAGAAGACTTATTCTCAACTCAAAAGCCTCAATTACATAAAAGTTTAAAAACATGACACTGTAAGGGTGCCTGGGTGGCTCAATCGGCTGAACTTCAGACTCTTGGTTTTGGCTCAGGTCATGCTCTCGGTCGGGGTCCTGGAATCAAACCCTGCGTCAGGCTCCGGAGCTCAGTGCAGAGTCTGCTTGTCCTTTCCCCCTTCCCCCCACCCCGCTTGCTCTCTCAAATGTGCATGTGCTTTCTCTCTCACTCTCTCTCTCAAATAAACAAAATCTAAAAATAAAAATAAAAACCCCAACCATGAGAATATTAAAGACCTGTGAATGGCAACTTAACCATTTCTAATTTTTATTCCATGTTACTACATACAGTAAGAACGCATCACTGGTTTTGCAAAGACTGAGGTTTTAATAACTGGCCCTTAATTTGATAATCATGTCATTTGTCTTCATTTCAGCTTTATTTAGGTATAACTGAAAAATAAAATTGTAAGATACTCCAAGTATACATCATGATGATTTGATATGCATACATACTGAGAAAGGATCCCCCCATCTAGTTAATTAGCACATCCATCACTGTACATACTTAACTTTTTTATGTGTGAGAATATTTAAGTTCTGTTCTCTTAACAAATTCCAATTATACAATACAGTGTCATCAACTTTAGTCACCATGTTTCACATTAGATCGTCACACAATTCTTCTCCCAACTACAAGTTTGTGCCCTTTTACCAACTTTACTCCCCCTAGCCCTTCTTTGCTGGCAACCATTTCTCTGCTCTCTTGTTTCTAGAGCTTTTTTTTTTTTTTCTTAAGGATTCCATATAAAAGCAGTATCATGCAGGATTTGTTTCTCCATTGGGCTTATTTCACTAATCATGTTTTTCTTTATTCTGATGAAAACCACTGATAAAAACATTCAACAGCATTAGGCCATTCAAAGCAATAGGCCTAGTGACTGCTCTAGGCATGAAGGATGTCTCTATGTTTATGCGTTCGACAAAATTCTATGGAACGACGAAAGAGGACATTTACACAGACCTATCATCAGACCTATCACCTCGCCCTGTCAAGTATACAGGTGCTCTGTGGAGACCTTTCAGGGATAGCCAAGGTTGGGGAGTGGAGAAGTGAGAATCAGATTCAGGATTCTTCCAAGCCCTTTACATGGCAACTTCTCTTGCTTTTTTTTTTTTTTGCTTTTCTGGGTAGGAATTTTAAAAATGATGGGTTCTCTGAATGTTGTATAGATATACAAGGAGATATAAATGTTGAAACCACAGACCTAGCCTACATATTCCTATTATCCAACGGAATTGTTCAAAGGGAGTACATTGGAATTTGGGACTAGACAATCCTTCCCTGTGTAGACAAATATGAAATAATTTCAGCACCAAAATAATTAAGTAGTAAGTTACTGACCACTGAAACATTAGAACTCCATAAACCCATACTGGTAACAGATGAATAAAAAAGTAAATGGGAAAGGAAGGACTCTGAAAGCTGACTGGTAAATGTGGAGGGAGGACTAGAATGGAAAATTATCCCTGTGCAATCATCAAAGAAAAGACTGGTTCAGGCAAGAATTTCAAGTGGATGCTAAATCTGGGCAATGGAGAGGATTTTGATGAGAAGCAGAATATCTGTATGGCCAGAAGAATCTCTTACAGACTGCTTATAAATTACAAGTGGGAAAAAAAAAAGGAACTATACAGTGGGGCCAACAGAACACACCGTAACTGGGTGATCAGCATCACCAACAAGGAGCAGATGGACAGGGCATGCCTCCCAATATGATGCCCTGAGAAGGACACAACTTCACTTATGCAATATTCTGCTAGAATGCATAATCTGATGAAAAAAGATGACAAATTCCAAATGAGAAAGAATCCTTTCAAATTCAAAAATGTCAAAAGAGGCAAGGAAGCACTGGATAATGTTTCAGATTAAAGGAAACAAAAGAGGACATTTGAATCAACAGCAGATATTCAATGGTATTCTGGGGTGCCTGGGTGGCTCAGTTGGTTAAGCATCTGCCTTCCGCTCAGGTGATGATCCCAGGATCCCAGGGTCCTGGGGTCAAGCCATGTGTTGGGCTCCCTGCTCAGTGGGAAAGCTGCTTCTCCCTCTCCCTCTGCCTGCCGCTCCCCCTGCTTGTGCTCTCTCTCTCTGACAAATAAATAAAATCTTTTAAATAAAAATTCCTTTAGAAAAAAAAAGACATTCTAAACAAAACATTCTAAAACAAACAGAAAAATCTAGCCTATATATTTCAAAATGCCAGATTCATAGAAGAAAAAGAAAGGCTGAAAGTTCCACATTAAAGTAGACTAAACATGGGGCACCTGGGTGGCTCAGTTGGTTAAGCGACTGCCTTCGGCTCAGGTCATGATCCCGGAGTCCTGGGATCGAGTCCCACATCGGGCTCCCGGCTCAGCGGGGAGCCTGCTTCTCCCTCTGACCTTCTCCCCTCTCATGCTGTTTCTCTCTCTCTCTCTCTCAAATAAATAAATAAAATCTTAAAAAAAAAAAAGTAGACTAAACAGATCTGACAATAGTGTGTGCTCCTGAACTGGATCCTGGATCAGGGAAGAGACTTAGTATAAAACTTACCACATCATTGGGACAACCGGTATAAATGGAATATGCGTTCTATATCAGGTATTATATTGTTTCAAGAATTAGTATCCTGAAATAATTAAAAACAGGGAAATCTGGAAGAAGAGTATAATGTAGCTGTTTTATAAAGTAGTTGTTTTATATTGTTCTCACAACTTTCAGAATTATTTCCACATTAAAAGTCAAAAAATAAGAGTTGATACATGGGCTCTTACGATTGTGACAGAAATGACTAATAAAATAAGTCTGTTTCATCGTTAAGAGCCGTGCAGGCATGGCTCCCAGCCTTCCTAAATGACACCACCAAGGTTCAACTGCACTCCTCCCACTCCTCTCTCAATCACCTCAAAGCACAATGTAACTGGACTCTGGGGTCTCCTCAAACTCCACTGCAAACATTTCTGCTAAGACCTAGATAATGAGTTCTTTGTGGTCATGGACAGCTTAATAGGATGACAAGAAAGGAAGATCCTCATTCTGTATTTCCCTGAAACACTGTTGTGAAAAAGAGCTGAGAAAAACTGTAAGTTATATAAGAATAAATTTTTTTAAAAAAGGATCTCTCACCTTCCATGGCTTTTCTGGAATTGGTGGATCTTCAATTTCCGCATCAACATCATTACTATGGACCCAAGTATCATAGCTACAAAGGAAATGAAAAAAGGAAAAACAGCTTAGAATCCAAATTCATTCACTAAAAAGACCTTTTATAAAAAAGGTGAAAACTGTATTTTAGAAATACTCTTAGTATCAAGTAATAGCAATATTTCACACACTTTTGTCCCTGCCACTCTGACAAGAAAACACTTCTGTAGAGGTCTATAGTGATCCTGACACTGTTAAATCCAAAGTTCAAGCCTCAGTGCACAGAATTTGCAGAATTTTAATGAGGAGATCACTCTCTCCTCAAAGCATTTCCCTCACTTGGCCTCCAAGACAGCACTATCATCTGCTATTTCTTCTAGCCACAGCCTTTCCCCATCCCACATGGCCAGTTTCTCCTCTTCTCCCAAACCTCTTCAACACTGGAAGGTCCCAGTTTGGTTTGCGAACACTACTCTTCTTGTCTACTCATTGTCTTGATCTCATGTAGACCTACAGCTTCAAATATCTACGCATCTGCCCTCTTCTCTGAATGCTGGACTCATGAATCCAACTGCCAAATCCACATTTCCCCTTACATATTCTAGAAGGCTTTCAAAACTAACACTCAAAATTGAACATGCAATGCCATCCTGATCCCAAAAATACGCCCTAGCCAATCATCCCCATCTTAGTAAATGCCAACTCCATTTTTCCAATTGTTCTGGCCAAAATCCCTGGAGACATCCCTGACTTCACTCTCAATCACATCCTACAATCCAACCAATTAACAACTTTGACAGTTCATTCCATCTTCAAAATATGCCCAGAATCTATCTACTTCTCACCCTTCTACTTCTGCCCAAAGCCCCTGAGTCCATTTTTCACAAGCAACCAAACTGATCCTTTAGAAAATCAAGTCCGTCCACAATACCACTACTCAAAACCTTCCAACAACTCCCACCTCACTTGCAAAGAGCCAAAATCCTTACGGTGGATTGCCAAGGCCTCATGATATGGTCCTCTGACTGCCACTCTGACCCCGTCTCCTAGTACTCTCCCCTCAAATCACGTTTCAGTCGAGCCACCTGGCCTTTCATGGTGTTCTTTAAAAATGCCAGGCAGTGGCCACTTCACACTTTACAGAGGCTTCTCGCTACCCAGGTATCATATGGCTCACCCCTCATATCTTCACACCTCTTTGCTCAAGGGTTCTCTCTTGAATCACTCCCCCTGCTCCTCTACAACTCTGAGGTAAGCATAAAATTATCTACCAAATTGAAACTGTCAACGCTACTATACTGGCCAATAAATTACTGTAAAAGCAAGGGATATCTAAATTAAATACAAGTATGGTAACAAGCACTGGCTCCCTGCAGCCACTACTCAGAAGTCAGTTCAAAAGCATACGGAACAAGCACTGCTCTATATGTCTATGAATGGCACTCTGGTAAGTTTTCTAGGAACACTTAAAACATGAGCTGGAGAAAAAAAGATCCTCTGCCAAGTTATTAATTATAACAGATAAAGATAACAATGGTGAGTTAGCAACTGATACCCTTACATTCTCTAAAAGTCTTGAATACAAACTGTCACAGAGGTAGAAGTGAGGGCAGAAACTCCAGGAGTCCCTCCTTACCCCGGGTTTTACATCCTGCACTTCCAGTTATCCGCAGTCAAACGTGGTTGAAAGCAGATGGTCCTCCCTCTGACCGCAGAAACCTAACACAATATCACAGTGCCTGCACCACTCACCTCACTTCGTCACCACGCAGGCATTTATCATCCCACATCATCACAAGAAGGGTGAGTACAGTACAATAAGGTATTTTAAGAGAAGAGAGAGACCACATTCATATAACTTTTCTTACACTATACCATTCCAACTGTTCTATTTTATTAGTTATTGCTGTTCATCTCTTACTGTGCCTAATTTATAAATGAACTTTTATCACAGGTATGTACATACAGGGAAAAAATATAGTATATATAGGGTTCAGTACTATCCATGGTTTCAGGCATACACTGGGAGTCTTTAAAATAAAGCCCTCACAGGACGCCTGGGTGGCTCAATCGGTTGAGCGACTGCCTTCGGCTCAGGTCATGATCCTGGAGTCCCGGGATCGAGTCCCGCATTGGGCTCCCTGCTCGGCAGGGAGTCTGCTTCTCCCTCTGACCCTCCCCCTTCTCATGCTCTATTTCATTCTCTCTCTCAAATAAATAAATAAAATCTTTAAAAAAAAAAAATGAAGTCCTCACAGATGAGGGGGATGGGGGTACTGCTATATAGTTAATAAAGAAAGTGAACAAGGCCTTAAGAAGATAAGACTCAAACTAGCCACTATATCCTATCTGAAACATAAAGAAAAGGTTAGCAAACAGGCTAACATGTTTTTACTGTGTTATTATAAAATTTATTTCAACTGTATACTTATGAAGCTAGTCATTGTAAATTTGAGTTTCCATCTAAATGTTTCAAAGGGCAAATTGATTTCCTTTAGGATTTCCCATAATATTGAAAGGTTTGCTTAACAGTGCCAAGGACTACTTGAAGCCTCAAGACTAGAGATGTTTTATAGGAAGGATTCATTTAAATATTATTTAAAAATCTGTTAGTTCATTTAAAGGAATCAATTATGGTTCAGAAAGCTGATTCAATCTGGTTCTCATTAACTCAACCCGTATGAAAACTGTGCATATACTCTTAGAATTCTGAACATATCTAAAGACATATTTCCTTCCTTAAAAAATATCCTGGTATTATGCTAAGCGAAATAATCAGAGAAAGACAATTATCATATGATATCACTTACATGTGGAATTTAAGAAACAAAACAGAGGATCATAGGGGAAGAGAGGGAAAAAATAAAACAAGATGAAATTAGAGAGGGATACAAACCATAAGAGACTCTTAAATCACAGGAAACAAACTGAGGGTTACTGGAGGGGAGGGAAGTGGGAGGATGGGGTAACTAGGTGATAGACATTAATGAGGGCACGTATGTAATGAACACAGAGTATTATATAAGACTGATGAACCACTGACCTCTACCTCAGAAACCAGTAACACGCTATATGTTTATTAACTGAATTTAAATTTTTATTTTTATTTTTTTTTAAAGATTTTATTTATTTATTTGAGAGAGAGAGAATGAGAGCTAGAGAGCACATGAGAGGGGGGAGGGTCAGAGGGAGAAGCAGACTCCCTGCCGAGCAGGGAGCCCGATGTGGGACTCGATCCCAGGACTCCAGGATCATGACCTGAGCTGAAGGCAGTCGCTTAACCAACTGAGCCACCCAGGCGCCCCCTGAATTTAAATTTTTAAAAATGAAAAAAAAAATCTTTACAGGAGTGCCTGAGTGGCACAGCTGGTTAAGCATCACTCTTGGTTTCAGCTCAGGTCATGGGATCGAGGCCTGCGTCAGGCTCCATACTCAGTGTGGAGTCTGCTTGAGATTTTCCTCATCTGTCCCTCCCCCGCTACTCCTTTTCTCTCTCTCTCTCGCTCAAATAAATAAATATATCTTTAAAAAAATAAAAATCCTGGGGTGCCTGGGTAGCTCAGTCGGTTAAGGGGTCTGCCTTCAGCTCAGGTCATGATCCTAGGATCCTGGGATCAAGCCCCCCACTGGGCTCTTTGCTCAGCGGGGACCCTGCTTCTCCCTCTCCCTCTGCCTGCCTGTGCGTGCTCTCTCTCTCTCTCTCTGTGAAATAAATAAATAAATAAATAAATAAATATCTTTCAAAAGATAGAGAAAGAAATAAATATCTTTGTAAGTAAAATAGTTATTCAAATAGACTAACTTAAAAAGAGCACACAACCTGGGGTGCCTGGGTGGCTCAGTTGGTTAAATGTCTGCCTTCAGCTCAGGTCATGATCCTGGGGTTCTGGGATCAAGTCCCACATCAGGCTCCCTGCTCGGCGGGGAGCCTGCTTCTCCCTCTCCCTCTCCCCATGCTCATGCTCTCTCTCTCACTCTTTTTCTCAAATAAAGAAATAAATCTTTAAAAATAAATAAATAAAAGAATATTTTTTTAAAAAGAGCACAGGGGCACCTGGGTGGCTCAATCAGTTAAGCGTCTGCCTTTGGCTCAGGTCATGATCCTGGAGTCCTGGAATCAAGCCCTGAATTGGGCTCCTTGTTCAGCAGGGAGTCTACTTCTCCCCCTGCTTGTGCTCTCTCTCTTGCTCACTCTCAAATAAAGTAAAATCTTTAAAAAAAAAAAAAAGGAGCACACAGCCAGACATTATGGGTCATCATCAGATGATGATGAACACACATCTATGCAATAGTCTTATTCCCTCCATAAACTGAAATACACTCTGATTAACTCTAGATCCAACTGCCAATTTAAAGGAAATACAGAGAATGGAGAAACATGTTCAAATACACCACAGTGATGGCATTAAAAAAAAAAACCCCACATTGTGGTAAAATCTATAGGACACACACCCTGGTTTCTTAAATAATACAATGCATGTGGTCAGGTGGGTAGGGAAGACAGAGAGAGAACCTAGACACTGAAAAATGTGTTAAGAAATATATCAATTAATCACAAAGTGTGGCTGAATTCTACTTCCAACAAATATTAACCCATAAATTAATATGTATCACATATGACAATACTGAATAGATGACATAAAGGAATTTTGTTTTTTAGATTTGACAATATTACCCTTACTATTTTTTAAACAAATGAGGCATTATTTAGAAATACATATTGAAATATTTATCATTAAAATGTTATGTGTGGGATTTGCTTCCAACAATATGAGAAGGTTAATAAAAGTGGACAGGGGTATAGATGAAAGAGGACCAGTCTGACATGAAAAACCCACAATGGTCACAATCCTCCCCACAGCTCCACTGTAAGTTTAAGAAGATGAAGTTCATGGAAGGTTATCCTTATTTATCAGTGTCCTATGTAGGCACGGTATAAATTTAAAAAGGACCACCATTTTCACTAACATCTAGTTCATATTTATAATATTCTTTATCTATACTTAGAGAACGAAGCACAGTATGAGTTATGATTATCTCAAAGTAGTAACGACAATAGGGAAGTAAATTTCTGCCAAGAAGAAAAACTCTATTTGGAAATAAAATAATTCATTCTTAATAGTATGGCATAAAGATTTTTTAAGAAACAAATAAAACTAAATAGTCATAAAATACTAGGGAGAAAAATTCATTTCTTGAAGGAAACAAATCTATATTAGCAGTCTAATACCATATTGAAGGGGTGTTTTGGCAAATGCAGCAAACTGGGGCTTTGAATTGAATTCCATAACTTCAGTAAGACTCAAAAAGTGAGATCAAGCACTGAAGCAAAGTTGTCACTATTCCAAAAATGAAACTATACATAAATAACTCTGGCTTGCACTGAAAAAAAATCTTTATACCAGATCTCAGGACATGTCGACATTACCTGTCTGGGTAAAACCCCCAATGCACTAACACCTGCTTATCTTTTCTCATCACCGGTCTCAACCACTCTTCTGAAAGGGAAAAAGAAAATACTTTAGTCAAGCTAACAAAACAAATGAATAAACTGCTATTTAGACTTAATTTCTACTTAGAATTTTTGGTTTGCTCATAAGCATCCCCCCAAAATTTTTTCTCATAAATGAACATTATATCTGTTATATTAAGAGAAAGTTTTTCAGCCATGTATTCAGAACTACTATAGCACAGGCCTATTATCCATTACTCTTGGCAAATCCAATTGTCCACTGCAGTAAAATACTCCCCCCTCCCACCCACCTGCCTTTCTCCAATTCCATCCAAATCATGATCACTCTATTCTTTACTACCACATTTTCAAGTAAAACCTCTCCTCCCTCTTTCTGTGAGGCTTTGCAGTTACTATACATTTTTCAAGGTGTAAGTCCTGCTTCATGTCCTTGATGAAAGTTTCACCATATACTCTTCTTCTTCTAGATTCACTTTCTCTGGTATCCTATAGCACTTCACAGACTGCTACATCAAGCCTTTACCAATAATACTATTTTTATTATTTTTTAATGGCATCCTACCTGTTAATTTAGCCTTCCCAACAACAGTTTAAGCATATGATCATATTAGATATTTTTATTTTGAGTTTCCTTACCAAAGATAGGTGTAAATTTATACAAATTTACAGGATGACCCTTATTGATTTGAATCATAGTTGTATTATATCTACATTTTAGTACTAGTTATGGGGTGTTTCTTTGGTAGTCTAAATTTAGCTTAGCAAACTTGTCTCTAGTGCTCAGAGGAAATTAATAAAGTAAGCCCCTTGAAACCCAAGAAATAGCAAAACAGAAAAACTTAAGTGAAACCAGCTAAGTAAAAGTGGCTTTTCATTGCCAATTTCAACAAGAAATCGTCCCAGCTTCACTGACTAAAGGCATGAAAGCCCACATGCCTATGTTTTGTTTTGTTTTTTAATTTTTATTTGAAGTAGGCTCCACACCCCATGTGAGGCTCGAACTCACCACCCAGAGCTCAAGAGTCACATGCTCTACCAGCCAGGTGCCCCAAGCCTGTGTTCTTTTTCAAGCATCCAACTGTTCACCTTACTATCTTGAGAGAAAGTGAATAGGAAGAAATCAAGCCAGGTCCTTAACCTGATATCCCAAAATGGCCAAGGAAAAAGTGAAGAGGAGGCCAGTTGGTCTTTCATAACTCACTATGTAGCAACAAACAAAATGTACTGACTCTTAACTAGTAAGAACTGCCCTTTAGGATACTAAATCTATCTTCAAAGGCTGTGCAGCTTTAGGAGGTAAAGAAAAAGAATACTCATTCTTTTTACAGCTGATTTTGATAGAGACTGTGGCAGTGATTGCCTTTGGAAATTTTCCCAGTAGCAGAAATAACTAATGGTTAGAGATATAAATCCACATTCTTCCCAGAGATAATCATATGCTACACAGAACCAATAAAACAGCCAGTTTTATGAGTAAAAATTAGTCTGAACTGAGAATATATACATAACTCTCACAATTCAACAATAAGGACACAGTCTAACTAAAATACAAGCAAAGGAGGGCACCTGGGTAGCTCATTAGTTGAGCATCTGACTCTTGGGTTTTGGCTCATGTCATTATCTCACGGTCATGGGATCGAGCCCCACTTCAGGTTCCACACTCAAAGGGAGTCTGCTGGAGATTCTCTCTCTCCTTTTCCCTTTGCGCCACCCCCCACCACGAATAAACAAATCTTAAAAAAAAAAAGGAAAAAAAAACACAAGCAAAGGAGCAAATGAAACATTTCTCCAAAGAAGATATACAAATGGCCCAAAAGCACATGAAAAGACACTTGGGATCATGGGATCATTAACAATTAGGGAAATGCAAATCAAAACCACAAAGAGATACTGCCTAATACCCACTAGAATGGCTAATATAAAAACAGAGCAAATAAAAAGTGTTGATGAGAATGTAGAGAAATTGGTATCTCCATACAATGCTGATGGGACTGTAAAATGGTATAGCTACCTTGGGAAACATCGTGGTGGTATAAGAAAATGTTTAATACAGAGTTGCCAATATGGCTCAGCAATTCAATTTCTAGGTATAAACACAAGAGAACTGGAACCATACATCCACACTATAACCTGCACACAAATGATAATAGCATTATTTATAAGTAAGTGTTCATAAACTTACAATTGGCTAAACAAAAGGTAGTATATCCATACAATGTAATGTTATTTGGCCATCATGCATAGGAAGTAACAAAGTAACATTACAGGAGGCCCCAGACCTTGTTCCACCACAGAGACACTGACTTAACACCAATATACCACCTAAAAAGTCTCCGTGAGAACTCTAGGACCCAATTAAGGAGTTGCAATACTTCAGGCAAGCTCAAAGTCAAGAACAGCTGCATTGTAACAGTAAGAAAAGCCATTTCGTATTCACGGCAACAGAAATTCTCCCAAGCCAGCAGAGTTCAGCAGGATCAGGGGGGAAAGCTCAGCTTGCAGCTTCTCCCTTGGGCTGAAAAGAGAAGACTGAATGTGCATCCAATATTCCAAATATTAGGGGGGCTGTTTGCCTCACCGGACTAAGAGCACTGACAGAATGGACATATTTTGGATGTGTGGTGGTCAATGAGAACAAATGAAATCTAAGCAACTTACTGTAGTACCAGAGAACCAGTAATGCCACAGACAGAGGCTGGTCAACTGGATGTGATCAGGAGAAAGCACCAAGATCCCAACTTCTCCCCTGGTAGGGAGAAAGAAGAGCGGAATGTACATCCTATGTTCTGACTTTTCTGAGGGCTGCCCAAGGGACAGGTTTCTGTCTCAAATGACTCAGTGCTGATGGGGAACCAGCATTCTTTGGAAGATCAAAAGAGAGCTCAGTGGCTTGTTGCCAACAACAGAGAACTTGTGGTAAAGCAGAGAGACACAGAGAAAGCAAGATATTACAAGCTCCTGAAAGAGAAAGCAGCATACTCTTTACACACACAAGTGCAGAGAAGATGCATCCTCTGAAAACCTTTGAGAGATGCCTCAAATCTCAAGCTGAGCTGACTGGTGAAGGTCTTGCCCTGTACAAAGTCAGGCTATAAAGACCAGGAGAGGCAGCTGTTCATTCAAAGGCACAAAACACAGCAGAAAATAACAAGACACCCAAAGAGAAAGGGAAAATGGTCTAATCAAAGGAAAATAATTAATCTCAAAAACTGACCCTAGAGGAAAGATCTAAAAATTATCTGACAAATACAAAGTAATGCTGTTTTTGTTTTTTTTTTAAAGTGGGCTCCATGCTGGGGGCACCTGGGTGGCTCAGTTCATTGAGCATCTGCCTTCGGCTCGGGTCGTGATCCTAGGGTCCTGGGATTGAGCCCTGCATCGGGCTCCCTGCTTAACGGGAAGCCTGCTTCTCCCTCTCCCACTCCCCCTGCTTGTGTTCCCTCTCTCGCTGTCTCTGTCTCTGTTAAATGAATAAATAAATAAATAAATAAATAAAGAGAGTTGGACGCTTAAACAACAGAGCCACCCAGGTGCCCCAAAATAATCATTTTAAATGAAAAGCCTATGGGTCAATGGGTCAACAACAACAACAAATCAAGAGAGAAATTTTAAAAATCCAAAACAAAAAAGAACATACTAAAATTTTGAGGATGCAGCAAAAGCAATTCTAAGAGGGAAGGTCATAGTGGTAAATGCCTACTTCAAGAAACAAGAAAAATCTCAAACAACCTAACTTTATACCTCAAGGAACTAGAAAAAGGACAAATGAAGCCCAAAGTTAGTAGAAGGAAGGAAATACCAAAAATCAGAGCAGGAATAAATGAAACAGAGACTAAAAAGACAATATAAAAGATCAATAAAGCCAAGAGCTGGTTATTTGAAAAAAATAAACAAAACTGGGGCTGCTGGGTGGCTCTGTGGGTTGAGTGTCTGCCTTCAGCTCAGGCCATAATCTCAGGGTCCTGGGATCGAGCCCCACGTTGGACTCCCTGCTCAGCGGGGAGGCTGCTTCTCCCTCTCCCTCACTGTTCCCCCCTGCTTGTACTCTCACTCTCTAAATAAATAAAATCTTTAAAAAGTAAATCCTGGAGTCCCGGGATCGAGTCCCACATCGGGCTCCCTGCTTGGCGGGGAGTCTGCTTCTCCCTCTGACCCTCTCCCCTCTCATGCTCTCTCTCTCAAATAAATAAGTAAAATCTTTAAAAAAAAAAAACTTAAAAAAAATAAAAAATAAAAATAAATAAACAAAATTGACTCGTCAAGAAGAAAGCAAAGTGTTCCAATCAATAAAATCAGGAAATGAAAAAGATGTTACAACTGATACCACAGAAATAAAAAGGATTGTAAGAAACTACTACGAACAGTTAAACACCAACAAACTGTACAACCTAGAAGAAACAGATAAATTCCTAGAAATATACAACCTTCTAAGACTGAATCATGAACAGAGAATCTGAAATGACTGATTACTAGTAAGGAGATTGAATCAGTAACTTAAAAACCCCCTACAAACAGAAGTCCCAGACCAGATGGCTTCACTAGTGAATTATATCAAACATTCCAAGAAGATTTAATACCAAACCTTTCAAACTCTTCCAGAAAACAAGAGGAAGGAATACTGCCAAACTTATTTTACAAGGCCAGCATTATCCAGATACTAAAACCAGACAAAGGTGCCAAGAAAAAAAAAATTACAGGCCAAGGCCAATATCCCTGGTCAACACAGATGCAAAAATCCTCAAGCAAATATTATCCAAATTCAACAATACATTAAAAAGATCATACATCATGATCAACTGGGATTTATTCCAGGGATGCAAAGATGGTTCAAAACCAGCAAATCAATCAAAGTGATATACCACATTAACAAAATGAAGGACAAAAATCGTATGATCACTTCAATAGATGCAGAAAAAAACATTTGACAAAGTTCAACTTCCACTTACAAATAAAAACTCTTGATAAAGTGGTATAGAGAGAACATACCTCAACATAATAAAGGCCATATCTGATAGGCCCACAGCT